TCGTACATAAAATCATACGGTGGTAAGTTGAGACGAGTGCAAATTTTTCATAGCACTAAATTATTTATCAATGATATTTCGTCACCCTTGTGCATATTTTTTGGAACAAGGTTGATGCCCAAATGAAAAGATTTATATTAAGTTCCTCGATGTCTATTAAATTGCCAGATATCGGGTAAATAGTGAAGTAGTAATAGGTGTGTAGCCCAAAAGATAATCACACATGCTGTATATTAATAAGATTGTGTGTTAATTCATACCACTAAAATTTTCGTTTAAAATTTTTATTAATTATACAACGTCAAATTTGCAACATTCCTTTCATTTCACAATCGTGGTATCAGATTTAAGATTTTCATATTGACGTTTTATTGCTGATTTTATAATATGGAGACGTGATTTTATTTAATAGCTTTGGTTAGTTTTAAATTTTAAATTGCCAGTTTTCTAAAGTTCTAAAGTTGAATAATAATTTTAGACTCGTTATTATTCCTAGTATTGACGGATTTTAGGCACTTTTTCAATGACATCTCTTATAATGTAAAACAGTAAAATTCCATCGAACGGTGCTCAAACTGTGTTACTTCTTATATATAGTGGTGGAAAAAGTATAGACATTTTTAATAATGTTTATATTATTAATGCTTCAAGGAAGGTAGAGTTTTTTACTTTTCATTCATTAAGAGATTCTACTGATACACATGAATGAATGTTTGTTATGTTCAGTTAGAAATAACTATGGAAACTTTTTATATTATTTTGTGTTCTACATTCAGTCTTGACTCTACAGTGCCGGAAATTTTCATCTGAAGTGCTGTAATGAAAATACTACAATTTTTTTTTATTATATATGAATAGTACTACATCTACTTCCGGGATTGATAAAACCATTTTAAAAATATAGAACCTCGACGGTCGAAAATCATCCAGACAAATCAAAAACGAAATCTTGGAATAGTTTGGCATGGAAGTAACAAGTTGAACAGTAAGAAACGGTCTAATCAACGGAATTCGGAGTAAAATGCATCAATTTCAAACAAAACAATATTGGAAAATACAATACTACGCAGAAGAAGGCGTGCCAATAAGATGGCGATTTCAACAGGACCATAATACAAAATACGCATCCAAGTTTGCGAAAGAATGGTTTACTGAGAAAAATATAACTACCCAATCGGCAGATCTGAATCCCATTGAACATCTTTGGAATGTCTTAGAGTGGGGTTGTCGCATGCAATCTTTAAAAGCAATAGGAAACTAGAAAAATGGGTGTGATTCTATGCACAGGTCCATCTTAGATGCTATGAGCTATGCCAACCAAATACTAAGACTAATAAATCATATTTTTATAAAAGAAGAAAGAAAGTTTCCATAGTTATTTCCAGATTTTATTTAAAATTTCTTTAAAATTTAAAAATGTGAATCTGCATGGCAATAATTCTTTGTAAAGTGACCACATACATTTTTAAAAACCATTATAATTATGTAAACGGTGCCATGATTTGTAGAAACAGATATGCTCACGATATTAAACAGTTTCCATATATTTCATCACCACTTATATTTTATAAATGGTTTTAAATTAAAACTACTCCAGTGAGACAAGTGTTACATAGTAATTATATATAAAGAGTTCCAAGCTGTAAATAATTTGTTTACTCCTGCAAAATCCCAATCATACACCGATCTAGCGTGCGAAAAGTGTCATTTGACGACGTTCGTTTCGTTTCCTACGGCTTTGCGAGTCACTCCGGACATTTCCGGGATATTACGACACGGGCTTGGAAACAATCGGATGTTTTCGGAGATATTTGACACGGTTTGAATTAAGTCAAATGACTAAAATGCCGTTTATCCCTTCTAACTATTGTACTATTATAATTGATTGAAGTTGTTCTCTCATTCATTTCACATGCCTACTACTATAATATTTTGCCAAATGTTTGTTACGATTTAGGTCCATTGGACGTGTTCTTTTTACAATGTTCGGCTATGTTTATGCTATGATCACTGCCAGCAGGAAAATAACATATTCTATTCAATTACAGCCTATTTCTATTCGTCGATGTCGAGCTAACAGGCATTTGGTAACTATTGCTGGTTGGTTCACATGCACATTGAAGGTTTTACCGTTTTTGCTTTGAAATGGAACGAAAACGTTGGCGATTTAAACAATTGTCGAAACTTTTGCTTAACGGGCAGTCTCGAAACGTTTAGGGGCACAATGTACACAAAAAAATCAAAGGCAAAGAAAATGCAAGTAAACGATGTTTATGTTTACGTCATTCTTTAAATTAACTTTGCATTTACCGATGTAACGTAGGATTTCAACGTATTTTTTCCTAATTACAATTCCGGTTTTACTATTCATCCCAACAAAACGTTATGAGCCAGAATTAAAACCAGATTCGCTCGCGTCATACTTAAAATTCATTCAATAAACATAAGCGTAAAAAAAATAGCACCGACGCGACGCAATGACGTATGCACAATCCGAACGGCAAAATTCACTGAATTGAATACCAGCGATTCCGAAAATGTCTAATGTTGAATTCGAAATTAACAGATGGTTCGCAGTCGCTATCAGAACGCTTCGCTAAAATTTTGTCAATTATTGTTGTTACCATCGGGTTACACTAAAACGGATTTAAACATTCCGAAATCAAGGTGAAACTACGCACGGACTCAGTGAAGAGAGAAAGAGAGACAAGAAACGTTTTAATCCTGTTGAGGAGTAAGACGGGTTCTATCTGGGTTTTTTGACTTTGTCTGGTGTTTTGATACGCTTTCGGGTAATGGATCCAGTGGTGCGTGAGAATTTGTCATTGCAATTTCAGTACATCGCTTTTGTGCAGCAATAATGACGTAACCGTCGCTCAGTAGGATGAGGTATGTGCTTACTGGACACCAATTCAGTTTATAATACTTTTGACTATGATGCCATTAATTATTTCTTATTGAAGTCATCTAAGGTCATTTCTTAATCTAATCTAAAATTAATCTATTTCAGTTTGTTGGATCCCTTTTGGATATAAAATTGTAGGAATATTGGAATTTTATTTAGATTCACGACTTGCTTGCTGTCTTGCTTTCTATTTGTGCATCAAGCTTATTCCTAAAAATATCCACAAGAATAGCGAAAAATCATTGATTAATAATTTAGCTCCATGATACGTTTCCATTAATCTCAACTTACCACCGTTTTTATTCTATGTATGACACTTTACAATTTGAAAGTTGAAATTTTGCAATTTGAAATTATTATTAAATTTTTTTAAACATAATTAAGTTATGGCAAAAAAGAATTGATATAATTTTCATGAAATGGAACCTTAAAAACTACCATAGTGGGCATACAATTATAGGTACTTATTTTTATAGTGCAACTATCACAACTATATTTTTCATTCTTCGGATATACAGGCGATTAATTTTCAGACTCAATGATTTATCTCCTTCATTTGGCTTTGTCCAACCTGATACTTAACCATTTTTTCCGCAGTTTTAGAAATTTAAAAATAATAGTGAATTATATATTGTCATTTTTAAACCTAAGCAAACTTTTGAACTGCTTTTAATTTAATGGGTAACATTTTTTCTACTGCAGTGAAATTACGCATTATCCATATTTTCATTTTTTCAAAAATACCCGACATGAATTTTACGCCTGTTTGCCTTTTGTCTAAATTTTGTTTATTTTGCTTGGAAACCGCCCAGCGCTTCTACGTATTTAAAAAAATTGCAATGCGGTCCATTTATTTAGAATTCACGAAGTATATAACTTTTGATGTTTATGACGTCTAAAAAAGTAAAACAATTGAATGATATTACTTAAAAAATAAAAACTTACCCACCGTATAAAGAATTGTTTTGTACTAAAAAAACTCGAATAATCTTCGCTACATTTGTGAGTTTTTTTTCCTAAGGGATGGGAATATTTTTTATGTAAAGGTTTTTTACCTTAAAGTACATTCACGTAACTCATATCATGGCGACCAATTCAAAAAATTCGAATTACAAACGCTTAAACTGGAGTTAAAAATATAGAAAGGGGTGCTTTGAAGGAAGTGTTTAAAACATAGAGCTGCAATGTGGTATGATCTGTTTACGATATAAGAAAGTGACCAATTTCTTTAGAATGGGATTATCCAAGGGTGGTCATTAACATACACCTGTGTTTAATATTCTTTGGTTTGGTATACTACTGAGTTTAAGTTTATTAGTAATCATTCTTATTTCGTGTGTAATACAGCGTGTGTTGAATCGTGTGCGAATTATGCAAAATATGTGCGAGTCTAGTGTTTTAGTGTATCTCAGGAAATGCTCACGCCCAAAATGTAGAAAACACTATTCTATTGAGACTAAGGAAGTTATAAACAATGTTTATTTGACTCTCATTGAACGTGGTGCCAGCAAGCAAGCATCTTTAGAAGAAACGGCCACATTGACGAAAATTGTGAATAATCCCATTTTAGCGAGGAAAAAAAGAAGCGATGCTGACATTTTCTCGAGTGTAAACGAAAGTGATCAAGATATAATATGGCATAAAATTTACCAGTTATACGAGGAACAAAGCGTGCCTCCATATATAGAAAAAGCAGAACAATCGTATATCCATATTGCAAATAATATAGAACAAATAATAATTATAACAGGCGATGATAGCGATAGTGATACTGATATATTATGTGAATAATTTTAAGTAATTTAAGTAGGTAATAAAAATAAATAAATATTGTTTAGTATCTTTCCTAACAAAACCAAAAATAATTAAATTCTAAGCAAAGTACGGACCTTTTCGGCTATATTTCATTCTTACAGCTTGCCCGGGTCTTTCCTTAATTCGCATCAGTTAGTCACTTTCTTATATCTATGAACAGACTTTAAGATTTGATATCATCACTATTTAATGCACATTCACGCATAAAATGGTTACAGAAATGAAAAAAACGAAACAATATCCATTATTACTGTTTAATATACTTTCTTCCTTTTTTCAGATGCCTCAAACAGTGCCGTCAGCATTAACCCCGCCGTTTGACTACAGCAACTTCGCCGAGAGTTTCGACCTGTCATTACTACCCGGCGATGATCAGTTAATTTCTGCTTCCACGCAACTCTATTCCCCAACGCCGGAAAAATCTTTGCAGCCCAAAATATTCGCAAGCTTCTATCCCAGCTCGCCGGAGAGCGAGTCGACCGTTCCAAATGACGTAGATTTCGGCCCGGATTTCCAGAAGCTACTAGGAGAAGATCGAAAATTTTCCACCTCGCCAATCCACCTCGAGGTTCCAACAACTGGCAACCACTTCGGACCACCTTCTCCGTTTTCACCCCAATCCCAAGAATTGATACCGCCTAATGATCGATTTTCAAATTATAGGGAACATAATTTTTACCCGAGTTCCCCTGAGTACTCGGTACACACTCCATCTCCGGGATCTATTTACTCTAGATCTCCTTGTGACGAATTTTTGCAAACCATAAAACAAGAGAGTCCATTTTCGAACTCGAATTCTCCGCTGCCCAGCTTCAGTCAGTTCGGAATAAAAGAAGAAAGTTACGTGCTTAGTTGTTCGTTCTCCTCGCCTACCTCCCCGGCGCATTCGAATTTTTCCGGGAGCTCTTCCCCTAAGCAATTAAATCCGAAAAGTGAGTTTATTGATCTTTTGGAAACGTCGGGACTGGACAAACCGATTAAACAAGAGAGTACGGTGGACTTTAGCGAAATTCTCAGCGGGTTGCAGAATACCAACACCCTTCGTCAGATCCTTCAACAAAAACCTGGAGAAAATCCGCCGCAAACGGTACCCGAGGCGCCCAAAGATCATCAGTTGCTCCGACAGGTTCTCAGAGACACGAGCTTTCAGAAAAGGTTTAACGTCAAGCCTATCGAGTTCCCATTCAACGGAGAAGACATCAAAATGGAGGAACCCGACGAAAACGACCAGAACGAACTGATCATAAGCTGTGAGGAGCAAATCGCCAGAGAAACTATCGAACCTGTATTAAATTTGGCCATTGAACAGATGAGGAAAGATGTGGACAATACCTGTACTACCCTTGGAATCGCACTGGGTAAGGTATACATTACGTTAAGTTACGATATATTTTTTCTTCGGAACTTGCAACGGTAACATAAATTTTAAAGCATTCCAAATATAAGTTCAACAGAGGAAGGGGCACGCAATGTATTATTTATGGAAGCGGACTCTGTTGAGCGTCAATACCAGATTTACCACTTGTCCAAAAATCTCTCAGCATCTTCGATCCATCAATATTTTACCAAAAAATTAACTAGGTTTTTTTAAATGTGCTACAAAAAAAATTATTAAATTTGCAAAAAAACTTGATCAGGAATATTGATCTTTACGCCCTGTAGAGTAGTCCTTTTAAAAGAGATAGACTTAGTGTTGCAAAATGCACTAAGTACTGACAAAAGAGATTTTCAACGACTATTTTGCCACTCTTATTTTAATATTGTCATCTTTATTATTTCATTTCATTATTGTCTTTTTAATTATTTGAATGATTGAACTTGGGAGTCTGATAATATCCTGAGCATTTTCCCTTCTTCGAAAGGTACCATAGGAATAGCTATCATATTTTTATCTGAAGAGGAAACTTAAAGTATTGCAGACAAGAATTTTGCTAGAACGCACACTTTGCGGCAAAATTAAGCGTGAAAATTCATCACGCTAATTGGCTATTTGGTATTTACCACAATCGCCCGCATTTAACATTTAAACAAACACTAATCAACCGGTGAACGTAACGTAAGAAGAACACGAGACTCAAGGTTGAAATTGTTTCACACGCATTATAACATTTCAAAAACGTGCTAGGAAGAACGTTTATGATAAGTTTGTGGTGTGCATAGCATCAAATATTTTTGAAGCGGCGTTGTTGTCGTCACTATTAAAGTTCGTTTCATGAGGTTTGGTACTTACGTATATTTTTTTGAAAAAAATCGATAATTATTCTAGCTAGGGCCACCATCCTTTTATTTTGAATGAGACAAGCATTTATAAACTTTTTTGGGCCTTTTTTGGAACATTTCCATTTGTTAGAAAAGGTAACTGATGACTTGCAGTGTAATAAGAAGACATCGTTATCTTCAAAAAACTGAAAGTTATACTTTCTAATCTAATCAATAACACAAAAACCCCAAACGATGTTTGTTATATTCAGGGTATACATTAGTCTCCCGTGAATTGTGAAGAATTTTAAAGTAATTCTGGGTGTCAATATGAATAGTAACTGTTTTCAGACCTAATTTTTCCATCCAATACGTTTGGAGTCTGCGTTCAAATTTATTTAGACGCGATTGTATTGACATTTTTAATTTAAGCACACAATGTTGTTTGTTCGCCTGGTCAAGCGTTTTACGGTTGCGCCAAATAAACTTTCAAACGTTACATAATCAGCTTTTTGCGAAGACCTATTTTTAGGTGGCCTCTACCGCGACAACTCTTACAATACATGCGGCACTCGCTCTTCGACAAAACTATTGAAAAAAATGCTACCGTTTAGTCCTTGGGTCTAGATTTTCACAGATATGAAGCCAAGCCTTAGTTTTTTTGTATTGCTTTATTTATAGTGGGCGTGGATAGACACGCAATGAAAGCTGGTAACAATTATTTGTGACTGTTTATTGTTCTAGATCCAACAAAATGGAGTCCCGCCGACGTCCTGTCTTGGATCCGGTGGACGTCCAGGCAGTTTAATTGTCCTGAACCTGCGGCCGAAAACTGGGAGATGACAGGGCAAGAGTTATTGGCCCTTTCAGAAGAAGATTTCACGAGAAGAGCACCGCAGGTATAATTCATCTTGACGTTAAAATATTTTTGTCGCTGGTCCCGATCAAAACACAAACTTGTTTCTCCGGTAGCGACGAATGTCCCTGTACCAGAAATGGGCTCAAAAAAGATCTTAATCGGTAATCCATACGTGTCAACCTAAGATTTATCTATTCGCTTAACCTAAATACCACGTGACACACCTACTTGCCATCGGTTGTTGTAAACAAATAGATAAAAGTGTGGATGTTGATTAATACGTTGAATACGTTATATCGCATTTTGCATTTCGCTTCGATCTATGAATAGAAATCCTTGAAAAAATTAAATTGTTTCGTTATAAAAGATATTACGCTCTGCCGATTTTATCGTAAAGTTCAATGAATATTTTAACGCCTATTGTGCATCTTTTAAGATGTGTGGAGAGTTTTTAAGTGACTTTTAAAATTTTAATAAATGCGGTAAACGGCATTTGAGTCACGAGTTTATTTGGCACGAGAGGAGCGAATGTTTAATAAACTACTTTTTCTACGACCGTTAGTTTTTGGGTGAATTTTTGCAAAACGATACGAACACATTCACTAACATAACCGTCAGAATTGACAAATGTTAAAGTTCAAGCCGTGCGGTAAAATCTCCGAAAACATCCGATTACTCCCAAACCCGTGCGGTAATATCCCGGAAATGTCCGAAGTGACTCGGATCCGTGGGACAAGAAACTCACGTGGTAAAGTAACGCATCCCGCACGTTCGATCGGTGTATAATCAGATATTTTACAGAAGGGAGTAGAAAAAGATTATTGCCTTATGATTACGCATTTCATTTTTCCACAAATTTAAGTTTCTATATGATACGCTATTAATATAGAATTAACGCGAAATTTCAGGTTAATTAATAAAATAAATCCCATTTAAACTGAACTCGTACTATCGTGATTTTTATTTATGTAAATATGTATTTTTAGTGCTGTTTTGCACCTGGTTCGAATATACACTTTGTTTTTAAATAACGCATCGCTATATAACAATTTGCAGAACTCATTGCATAAAACCATAAAGATAACGACAAAATCATTTTATCTCTTTATAAAACAATAAAATTCATATTTACGTTTTCAGAAATATCAAAGTTGCTCAATATGACCCAACGTTAATAAACGCCAAGTATAACTAGCGAAAATATCGCTTTTATCGAAAAATTCTGCTGTCCCGGGGCAATGTCATTGACTGACCTTTCTAAGAATTTCTTCTTGGGGCTTCGCGGGGGCATGGGACGCAAGACGAAAGAGGAAATGTTTGCATGTTTGTAACTGGCTTATAGTGGTGAAAGTTTCACTTCTCTTTAATTTGACCCACTTGACCATCGAAAAAAAACGTGGAATGCATTTTTATTAGGTTTTATCTTTTACAATAAAATGACTCGATTCGTTTTACTCGTATTTAAATTTTTCGAGGTGGTCACTGGTTTAAAAATCCTAATGTAATTTTTATTGGCAAATGTCATATATTATACTGCGATAAGAAATAGGAACCTCGTTTCTCGATTGCCTTTTCGCAATATCCCGATAACCGCTCCTTTTAAATGTTGATACGAAAGGATATTTGAACATCATAATACATTAACTGCAAAAGTCTTTAATTTTAATCCGAACAAATTTAGCAATATGGCGCAACATTAGCACAGTTTTACTTTTAAACAATCTCTGTTTACAGCTAAAAGAATTAAGGTCAACTTGCGCATAATACGCGAAACAGGTAGGTTTAACGGCACCTACGAGCTCATCGTCGATGAGCAAATAAAATGTTTTTGAGTGCCACGCGTGGTAATTTTTAATTTCTACAAATTTTTAACTTCTTAATATACTGTATACCGTATACCAATTGAATATTTCGGACTCCATATATTGACGATTTAGTTACGTGTTTATTTTTTATTTATTTATAAACGGAATCGACGTCATACTTGTTTTACATATACTCACTAATAATTTCGAGTCCCTACAAGGTGAAATTTGATGAAACGATAAAAGCTACAAACTAAACTGCCTTAATCCGTGTAAATTTTCGGCAGATAATTACAACAGCGCGGCTTTAAACAATTGCCATTAATTTAACAATCTGTTGCGTAAATTCTATAGTTGCTGCACTAACTAATAATTACGGCCGATTGTATGCTGATTTGTTCATATAAAACAAAAATCTAACACAAGCATATCGTGTATGTGACTCATTTCAAGCGCTGTTCTTGCGGTTAAAAACAATTGGTTGTTTAATGTAAGTGTGTACAATCGTGAGAAAATCTGATTAGGTCTAGAGTTATTCGAAACATGCTGCATATTTCTCGGAAACTTATGCTTCGAAATCGTAAGCTTTAATTATGGACTTTTGGCGAATTAAACTTAAAAATTGTCGCCTATACATTTTTTTTGCGCCAGCTTAGTAACTAAAAAAAAAATTACTGGACCATTGGAAGTTGTTGCTGCTGCTGCCGTTAGTAAATTAGGCATTTGTTGCAGGCCGGCATGAATCTGCATGCCCAACTGGAAATATGGAAGGCCGCCTATTCGGAGGATAGTGGCAAACATTGGTTTCCGGAATCTGTTTCTAGCAACGCTTCGAGTGGTGATATATCGGAGGGTAAGTCCCAAAATTCTGAAAGCAATAAATGAAACAACATGAGGTATATAGCTAGTAGCTTGCCTATTCCGAAAATTACTTCAAGCACTTTTGAAGGCAACATCAAAAAAATGTTGAGAATGGTCATTCAATACGAGAATGTGGGAATCGTTTCAAAACTCGCTTTCAACCAATAAGACCTTGCTACATACAACAATAAACATGACCTTTGACATTTCGTGAATTCCACAGTTTTCAGCTTGGATCTGGGATTTTTTTAACAGTAATTTCTCAAAATATACTAAGAGCCCGTTAAATTGTCATGGAAAAAGTGTTTTCAGTTTTAAATAGCAGAGTGGTACAAAGTGCCGCTTAGTGTGTGAAATATTAGGCCTTTCTGTACGAACATGTAAAAAAAGTTACGTACAGTGTGTCCCAGTAAAGGCAAGGAGCTACGGTATTAGAAAAACGGAGATTCCTAGAATTTTGAAAGAAAATTATTAAATAAATCAGCCAAGAGAAAAAGCTGGAAATTATTTTAGAGTTTTTGCAATGGCCAATAGGTGGCGTAGACCTCTAAAACTTCATAATGTAATAAATAATTTCTAACGTTAACTAGAGTTAGAGCTGAGAGAAATTTAAATGCTTTTTTTGCTCAATGCTTTTTGTTTCTTAAAATAGATCTCTATGTCTAGAAAAAGGCTTAACGCATTTTGATAAACTTAGAGTAGTCAAAAGGGGCTTTTACTAGGCTATCAATCGTACTGCGAATGATACTATTGTGATTGCTGATTGTGATTATTTGAAAATTCTGGGTCTCTCCGTTTTCCTAATATCGTATCTCGTTGCCTTTACTGGGACAATCGATATGTACAAAAACTCTGTAACGCATACATTTCTTGACTTTATAATCTGTGTCGATTTATGCCATAGAAAAAAATAGATAGTACACAAAATATTTAATTTTAAATATAGAAAAGACGAGAGAAATTTCTGGCATTAAGGAAGTAAAAATGTGAGTGCATTTCCAAAATTCCTTAGTATTTTGTTTGTTTCGCTAAAGTGGCTTAAGTCTTACAAAAAATGCTAATATTATTCGCTTAATATGCATATTTCATGAAAATTCTCTAGCGATAACGACGACTTTTGACTTTTTTCTACCTCGACGAGAATGCCTATGTAATGTCACTTCGGCAATTCGGCAAATATGGTGACCCGCTGGCACATTAATTTTTGTTAGATATTTGCGCCAATGACCTTGATATCAAAACCGCGATATATACATAATCCAAACATAATATCATAAACGTTGCGTGACTATTCGCGTTTTGTAATTATCTACGCGTATAAAAAGTCAGGAATAACGTATATACGGTTCGCTAGAGATAATTCAAATCCATTATAAATAAATATAGCACATGACTTATTTTTACCTACCTACCTATTCGCGATGTAGAAAACCACCTTCCAAGGCTAGCAAGATCTCACTCCTTGTTCGTTGCCGACTACAACTACTTCGATAAACATGTTTTTATACGCTTCTATTGCTTTTGTGTCCGATTCGCGTGGCATGGATTTTGTTATTTCAACAAATTGATCTTCCCAATTATTCGTGAACGCTGTGCAGGGTCACTTACTTAGAGTCTACTACACTACTACCGAAATTTCTATTGAACGGGTAAAGGGGACTTTTCCTAAGATGATAGAAATATTTTGGCAAATTCTGTATTGTCAAATCTACCCAAAACCAATGGCAACTTTGAAAAATTCTAAGTAACTTTTGTTAACATTCATGTCCTATATAGGGTTTAATGTGGTAAATGTGATAATCATAATAATTATTATTATTATTATTTTTATTAATATTACTATTGTTATTATTATTATTATTATTATTATTATTATTATTATTATTATTATTATCATCATCATTATTATAAGTGTCATTATTATTATTATTATTATTATTATTGTATAATAAGTGTGTGTGTATACTACACATATATTCTGAAATAAGTAATTTTTTATTTTAGATATATTAACTTGTTAAAAAACTTCCATACCTACTACTTAAATTGTTTAAATTTCTTTGTTTTTCGAACACCTTCGGATAGCATATTGGGAAATATAGTATTTGAATATTGTTTTCTGGTTTAATGAAGTCGATTTTTCAGTTTTATTTCGAGATTGCCTTTTACGTTTTAGGATTTCCTAGAGGGCTGCCTTCGAATAGAATTGAATGTAATATTCGACTTTCTTTCTAAATCAATGATAAATTTTTTCCTCTTATAAATAATCTTATTGATCCACTTTTGTAGAGTTTTTAAGAATGCTACCTGATTATCACAAGCTGCTCCCCATCCTAAAATTGTGTGACGTTGTACCAGATACGACAAAATAATTTTAAAGTGCTTTTTATCCAAAAAATAAATGTTTTTAGAAAATCACTACATAATTAAATGTAATATTTAGATTTACAAGTTGTCCAATAATAATTTTTCAGAGATTTTAAAGTAATTGAAGTGAGATGTAAAATATTGCGGTAATGAATGTAATGAATTGTTGTTTGCATTAGTACGTTGCAACGCGAAAATCTTTGACAAGAATGACAACAGCATATTAGATCCCGTCCCTCTCTTTGATTCCAACAGACTCGACATATCTTTGTTACACTAGACGTTTGACTTACGACAACATTTTTCGTTATCTATAGATGTTAATATATTATGTTGTTTAAAAAAAGGTTCGTTTATATATTTAGTGCTCTTGTACTTAGACTGCGAAATTGGTTATAAGGACATAATAACCCGACAAGGTGTATTTAAAAAAAGTTTTCATTGTTATTCAGAGCAAAAATGCACCTTTTTAAGACAACCTGCGGTCAGAGCTTTTATATGCATTATTTTTTAACCCAAGAAAAACATGGTCACTTGCGAAAAAATTAAATTTGCTTTATACAGTGACTCACAACAGTTACTTGGAATTTTGTATGAGAAGGATTTTCAATTGGAAATTTCAAAGTTGTGATCGGTTGCGACTAGATCCGATAAAGTTACATTTAGAAAAATGTTTTTAAAACATTCTAGAAATGTATATTTTGGGCTTTAATACCACGCTTAGTCAATTCTATACTAAAAACAGGACAATAAGTCAATCCATTACCCTTTCATCAAATTTAATGAAGCACAAATTTATCTCTTTTACAATTTTTGTTTTATTCGATTAAAAGATACTACCGCTGTATATCAAGAAAAAAGTGTTCAAACAGAAACGGATATAAGAAAAGTCTTATTTAAGAGCTAAAACAGAAAAAATCTTAAAGCAGCTCATCTATTATGGTACAGTAATAGCATGTTGATCTTCAAATTACTAAATTACTAAAATTAGAGCTCGACCACATACTTGAGCAACGCAATAAAAATTGCATCGGCTAATTAAAACACTGCTTATGAAGTTAGTGAAGATAGAGCCTTGAGTTTTCGCAAACCTTTGGTATTTTTTGTGAAATGAACGATGACCCCTCGTATCTCGGGCATCCTATGTCGGAAATGTGAAAAGGGCATCCGGTATAGAGTTGTATGCTATAGATTTTTTTTGAAAATCTGAACATAATTATTTTAATTCATAAAGCTGAAAAAACTGTTCAAAATTTTGTCTAACGGACCATCTACACACTGTTTCAATACTCTCCAAAGTTTTCAGAATAACGAGGTTGCATTTACAAACTTTCAAAAGCTGCTCGGAGGTTTTCGATATTATTGTAGGGATTGACATTTATTTTGCTTTCTAAATGATGCCACAAAACTAAGATCTAATTATAAATTGTGTTCAGATTTGCAAAAAATGCTAATATTTAATAATTGTTATGTTCCTTATCATTTTAAATAATTGTTTTAACATCTAGGTTTTAGTTTTGGTTTATCTTTTTTATTAATATATAGGTCATAAACCTATGTGAAATGTTACAAATAAAATGTTAATATTAAACTGATTTGGCTTCATACAAATTATAAAAGTTATCAATAGAATCAAATTGGTCTATAAGATATAGAGTATTTCATTAAAAAAAATATAAACTTTTTTTTCAAAAAAACGAAACCGAAAAAAACTGACTAGGTCACTGAATTCTAGGTAAAAATCTATATCGGATGCGTTTTTCTCCTTTCCGACATTTCAAATTTCCAAAGTCAGTCAGTATTTTAAAAACTAAGCAAGTCATAAAAATTTTGTTAACGTCATCTTTCGTTTCACAAAGAAGTACCAAAGGATTGCGAAAACGCAAAGCTCTATCTTCGCTAACAAAGGAACACCCCTCAGTCGGGATCAAAAAGTTGCCAAGTGAGAAACGGTCTTAACATTGTCGTTTTATTGCAGACGAGGATGATGAAACTCATCCTCAGACCGACCAATCGAAACCCACCACGTCCAAGACAGGATCCCATATTCACTTGTGGCAATTTCTCAAGGAACTGCTCGCGAATCCCCAAACTAACGGTCCTTGTATACGCTGGTTGGATAGGTCAAAGGGAATCTTCAAAATCGAAGATTCGGTCAAGGTGGCTCGGTTATGGGGCAAAAGGAAGAACCGACCCGCAATGAATTACGACAAGTTAAGCAGATCAATTAGGCAGTATTACAAAAAGGGCATCATGAAGAAGACTGAACGGTCGCAGAGGCTAGTGTATCAGTTTTGCCACCCTTACAGCTTGTAAGGGGGCTAAAACGCACCAAATTCCGTTTTTTTTTTGTATATAAAAAACAAAGACTCAATAGGATTAATCGGGGGTTAGCGGTTAAGGCGTCGGTGCTTAGGGTTATTTATTGTAAACAGCATTTTAAAGTTATTAAAATGCTGGAATAATCTAGAGTCAATTGGGGTATTACTGTTGACTTTAGCGTTCGCCTTTTAGGCCCCATTCGGAAGGTAATTTCCAAAGTTTCTTATATAAAATATTTGCCAGTTAGTAAAAACTTTCGTACGGAAGCTTAAGCGACGTCACCGAGAAGTATACTTCCGTTTTCGCCGGCCGGGTGCTCGAGATAAAAATCTTTATGAGCTCGCCGGCGAATATGGAAAAAGGTTTCGTCTGCCTATTGCCTTTCGCGTTTTGAAAGCTGGTGATCTTGGTCCCATATATCTATGATATATTAAAGCATTGTAAGTTCTATGAACAATTTTTTTAGTTTAGTGCAATTCTAAGGTTGTAAAGTTGTAAAAAATATGTCGCGTAGTTTTAAATGGTGACGCCAAATTCAGAGACACAAGATATAGCTGTTACAGCTACCCTATTTAGACGTCATCCTTTATTTATATACCGGTGTGGCAAAATTATTTTACCAGGTGTTTAAATTATTGGTTTAACAATGTACGAGAATACTCATAATGTACTCTATGTAATATACATAATTATAATTTAGTACAACTCGAAAGATCTGATTTTTTTTATAATATTACGTGTTTTCTTTTAAGAGTATTTTAATAGTGTGTTAAATGATGTTATTATCCACGTTAATTTTATTTTTATATTTATAGCGGCAAAGACAAAATAAATCTTTACACATATTAAATGTAGTTATTTCCTGACCATAAAGTTCATAAAGGTATCGGATTTCCTTGACTTTCTGAATAAAATCAACATAATGGTTTATTATATCATTATTATTATTATTACTATTATTATTATTATAAAGTACTTAGCCATCTTCATTTGTTCATAAAGGTAATGGATTTCCTTGGATTTCTGAATAAAATCAACGTAATGGTTTATTATATAATAATTATTATTATTACTATTAAAATAAATAAGCACTATAAGTTCAGATTTTCACGAAATTATATATTTTGACATGACAATTGTTTTGACAACACCGTGTCTTTATCAAATGTAATATTTACAAAACACCTGCTACTATATATACCGAAAAATGACCATACAACCACAATTAATGTTGTTGTGAGAATTTAAGTTCAATAAAGGAGAGGTATTTAAATCTAATTGATCGTTAAGCATTACATTTGAATGACTCATTTTGTTAATCTCCATGGCTTCCAATAAATTAAATTTTCTACTTTTTGTGGTTGTATGTAAAACATCAAAATTGTCGTCAAAAATGTGTTTTTCTGTGGTTAAGTGTGTAGCATAATTAGAATCTAAACTATTGTTTTTAAACGCTCTTTTATGTTCGTTAACCCGTTTCTTGAAGGATCTACCTGTTTGTTCAATATAAGTTGTAGGACAAGATCCACATTTCAACCTGTAGACACCTGATTTTTGGGATTTTGGACATTTCGTTTTATTGTTTTTTAAATATTTTCCTATTGTGTTGTTAGTTCTAAAAGCTATTTTTAAACCACATTTTGACAAATGTTTTCAAATTTTTTCACTAATTTTAAATTATTTATGTTCTGTATTAGGTTTCGGATAAATAGAGTTTACTGTTGTCTGTATTTGTTTTTTAGTTATAATTTTATCTATAATGGAGGGATTGTAGCCGTTGTTCAGTGCAATTTGTTTAATGATACCAAGTTCTTTGTTGTAATTTTCTGTTGAGAGTGGCGTATTAAGAAGTCTGTGTATAAAAGAGTTAAATGCAGGCATTTTGTGTGTATAAGGGTGGTTTGAGCTGTTATGTGTGACTGTGTCCGTGTGTGAAGGTTTATGATATATTGAAAAATTTAATTTGTTTTGCGCTTTTGTAATAGTTAAGTCTAAAAGATTAATAGAGTTATCCTGTTCAATCTCGATAGTGAATTTTATACGACTATGTAATGAGTTAATGTAATTTAAAAAAGAATTCAATTGTCTGTCCGTTCCAACAAAGCAAGCAAAGACATCATCCACATATCTATACCACCAAAAACAACTTTAACTTAGTAAACTTACTTACAATAGTGTTGCGTTAGAAGGGATTTTGATATCTTTAATTTTTTTGATTAATTCAAAAGAATTTTTTTTTGGTTTAACATCTGTGTGGAACTTTAAAGTTTATTTCAAATATTTGTCAAAATGTGGTTTAAAAATAGCTTTCAGAACTAACAATACAATAGGAAAATTTTTAAAAGACAATAAAACGAAATGTCCAAAATCTCAAAAATCAGATGTCTACACGTTGAAATGGATCTTGTCCTAAAATTTATATTGGACAAACAGGTAGATCCTTCAAGAAACGCATTAACGAACATAAAAGAGCGTTTAAAACGATAGTCTAGATTCTAATTGTACTACACACTTAAACACAGAAAAGCACATTTTTGACGACAATTTTTATATTTTACATACAGCCACAAAAAGTAGAAAATTAATTAATTGGAAGCCATGGAGATTAACAAAATGAGACATTCAAATGTATTGCTTAACGATAAATTAGATTTGAATACCTCTCCTTTATTGAACTTAAATTCTCACAACAACGTTAATTAAGGTTTTATGGTCATTTTTTGATATATATAGTAGCAGGTATTTTGTAAATATTACATTTGATAAAGACACGGTGTTGTCGAAACAATTGTCATGTCAAAATATATAATTTCGTGAAAATCTGAACTTTTAGTTCTTATTTATTTTGATAAATGGATTTTCATCAAGTAAAAGCCACCTCAATTCAATTATTACTATTATTATTATTATAAAGTACTTAGCCATCTTCAGGTTCTACAATTTATGGTATAATCAAAATTTTTTTGTAAAATGGCAAACAAACCAGCATCTAAAACAATGGTAGAAATTGTTTGGAACTCGTTACATTTATTTTATTATTTATTTATTTATGGGTTTGACAATTACTTGATTTCTTTTTTTCTTCTTTTTAACGCATATATAGCCAGCGATTTGGGAAACGCCTAAGCTGAGTGCCGCCACATCGAGATGCTTAAATAAAAACATACATGTTATTAAATAAAAGGTTAAATTAATATTTTTAATAAGGTAATTCGAAAAGATAAAAAAATGTTAGTACAGAATTCAGTTTATTAATTTTGTCCAAATTTGGGATAAAATGGGATTAATTAGGATGTTTTTAAATCTTTGTGTGTAAAAGTGTAAAACCTTACCGTTGCCATAGTCGAATTGGTAGGTTTTTTTCTAAAATTACCTCCCAACACTTTTTAAACCAATCAATAAAAAACAAATATATCATTTATATAACACCAAAAATATAACCGTACCAAAAAAGTGTCAACTGCGTTTCTGGGAGTGTCTCTGGGGGTGTGATGACACGAAAATGAAACCGACGCATTTCAAACCACTAAAATTCTGTTAAAAATAACAAAGATTCGTTCTGGCTAAACATTATTTACAAAAAATGCACCAGCTTGACTATGACAACGCGATTACCACTTGAGAGATATACATTAAGAAACATCCTAATTTCATAAATTATAAACTAATATAATAAATCCTATATACAACAACACATTTTTTACTGTTGCTATTAATAACATTTTATAACTGTTTATTGCCAACTCTTTTCCTCTAAACGTTTTGATATCCTTTGTTTTAAATAAAAAATAGATGTACATACGAATGACAATATTTATTTGACCGAGAAAACCAACCTTTATATTAATATAAATATATATAATTACCTCAACTGTGAGTATTGAAATAATAAATTAACGAGGACTGGAACGCAATGTTTTAATTAGAAATTAGACTTTTTTGCGAATCTTTTAAAGCAAAAATTATTATTTTATTACTCCAATATAACATAGTGGCCCCATTTTCAAGGGGACTGTATGAGCAACTTAAAATTTCAAAATGGGATTCTTCGGAATTCACTTTTCTTGTCTACAGAGTGTTCCAAATTTAAACTAATTAAATTTAAACAAATTTGGAACCTCGAGTCACTTCGGATATTTCCAGTACTTTAGTCACAGGTTTGCGAGCGATATTTCGACGTTTGTCAATTCTGACGGCCACGTGGAACGTACTCGTATCTGTGCTGAAGCCAAACACTAATGGTCATAGAAAAGATATAGTACACCCTACTTGGATAAACTTCTTCAGTCACTCGTTAAGTCAAATCAAACTTGTTACATATTGTACTATTATATGTCCACTCATGAAAGCGTAATTTGGTTGGAACACAGTAAAATAAAACACGTGATGTTTTTTTTTTATTTTGGTGGTAGTGCAAACTTACATCATGGACTTAACGAACTATGATTTGATCCGTGATTTATTTTTTATAAAATGCATATTTAGAAAATAAATATTCGGGATTCTGTTACAATTATATACAAAATTCTTAAGTGTACTTAAGCCATTTGATATTAAATAATTAACACTTCCGCTAATTATTTACATTTTAGGCTCTAAAACTAAATAAAATTTAAAGCTAACAGTCCAACCGGTGCAGACACGAATCCGGCTATAGTGGAACCCAACATGAATAAATTAAAGGCAAGCTCCATATCAGCTTGCAAGTCTCGCTTAATCATTCTAAAAAAAGCATAATATGACACACTACTTTTATCATGATCTGTTGATGTCACAGAAATTAATCATGACTGATAACATACTCGACATTTTTAATGATTATATTGTTCTGAGAATATCCATGAATCAAGTTGTGGGTACCCCAAATAAATGCATATTGATAATCCATACCGAACCAAACCGGAAAATTACTTTTAGGCTTTATATTGCAGGTCCAGATTAAAATAGCAAAAACGATTGGTGCAATTATAATTAAGGGAGTGAGAACCCTATACGGGACTCTCTGAAAAATAAAAATCCCTTAAAATTTATACGTATTGATTTTAAGGTACCTACCAACTTTTGACTCGATGATATAATCTTTCCGATCAGCCCCATTACATCCGCGAGAAGAAAACCGACTACGGGATAAAAATATGTCCCTGAAACAAATAGATAAGACATTTATTCAATCAATAGATTACTCTGCGCTATTTTTTACAATAACATTTCTGGTTTCTATTAAAGACGAAATTATGCGTATCTAGAGACCCTGCCCTACCTATGCTGAAATACAAGAATTCTTGAATCGACCATGAAAAAAAAACAGATCGGCCATTTAATATGCGCATACGCGGTCGTTTGAAATCTTGTTTTCCGCCAATAAGATTTAGGGACATTTAATAACCAGCATAGTCGCTACAGTTCGCCAATTTGGACGGTTTCACTTTAAAAACAGCATTCTCAGAGCAGTATTTTTTCAAAACAGGCCAAAATCTCATTTTCACCACTGACCTTGCGGAATTCAACAACCAACATGGCCCCTGGCACACATCATCAATAAGTTGTTAACAGAAGTTTATATTTATCTTTATGAAAATGTCATAGTGACACGAGGCGCATGCATTTTGATCTAATAGCTTTATGTTTTTTTGTGAATCCATGGCACTGAGATACCGAATTTCTCAAAAACGGCTTTTTAAAATTTTATGCCGCAACTTCTCGATCTCGATCACTAGACCTTATCGAGAAAATCTGGCTTGACAAGAAAAGATCAGCAAACTATGAAAAAACTCTCTACACGAAAACAAAAATTTTCACAAACAAAAAGTTATTAACCCTCCTAAAATGGTAACTTTTGGAAATCCCCTTGTAGACCAGAAACTACGTGCAGTGTGCTCAAACTGCAATTTGCATTTTTGAATTTGTCTCGTCAGCAGGGTCACTTTGTCTACACAGGTAGGTGTGCATTTAAACTACTCTGACCTGACGAGGGTCGATAAGCACTTATTCTTTGGACATTACCGACAGGATTACTCGGCCGAACGTACAAACTTCGACCGCACACAAGAATTTCAGATCAGACGAGCAACTTAGTCTAAGTCACTCTACCGAAGGCAAAATTTAACGTAACGTAAGAAACTCGATTGTTCTGAAAATGTTTGTAAACAAATTTGTCATATTTTAACTTATTAAACGCGTTGCATGATTTGGCAACTACGGCAAACATCGCTATCATTATTTCATCCGCCCGAAAGATCCAGTGGTACGGCCAGCATTTTAGCTAGACCAGCTGCAATCTTTACAAAGAGTATTTTTGCCAATTGTCCCTCGACCCTGAGATTTATTCTTTCCATTATATGATGTCATTTTATCAACACCCTGTATATTTGGAAAATAAAACAAACTAAAGATATGAGTATTGTAATTCGCATATTATGATGAATTTACTATTTTTTATAGAGTAGCCTATGAACTTGTGGTTATCCTATATAGCTATATCCTAAATAGAGGCCCTGCCTATGCTAATAGTACAGGAACTCGTGAAGCAAAATTTTGAGAAGGTCTGTTCAATATGCGCATGCGCGAGATTTGGAATTTCGTTTTTAACCAATGGCAGCTCTAATTGCAAATTCTGACGTTCGACCCATAAGGCCTTGCGGCTTTCAACAAGCAACATGGCCGCTGACAGGTCGTCATTATTTGGATGATGCATTTTTACGGCAGTATTTTCTCAAAATATGTCGAAATCCTATTAAATTTGCAGGCCAAAAAAAATTAGCGAGACGTGCATGGTTAATATAACGCTGAATTAAGGCATACGGCTCGGCGTCTTTAATATAATTCTATAAGTAGTTTGGCGTTTTGGTTCTTTAAGCCCTATAGACACGATACCAGCTATTTTTTCCAGAATTTGTGCCCGTAAATAGGCGCAAACAGTTCGTTTTTATAAACTTATTGGTTTAACCTCCATTGAAAATGTAAATAAAGTCGAATTCACGAAATGTGACTCTAAAAGTGTAAATATAATTTTGAGGTACTAGATATCGCACTGGAAACATCTAAGTGGAAAAAATGTTCAACAAGCACCTCATATAGACAGAAGGCTCATTCTTTCATCGCAAGTCTAGTAATTGCAGAAAGTTTCGCCTCCCAAATATATAATTATGATAAGTACCAATTGACGATTTCATTAAAAAACTGTAGGTATTGGAAAATGTAACTAAGAAAATTAAAAACTAGTATAAAACAACTCAATAAACAAATAGTCCTAAATGTCACAGAATTTACATTACTAAACCCTAAAAAGTGTAGTTTATTGTCTCAAAATTAAAAAAAACATTTTGCTAGCAAAAATTGCATGGCGGCTAACGCAAAAAGTTCCTATTTAAAAATATTTACCAGCAATTGTTAAATGCTAAAAATATATTTAGAAATTGCATTGTGACTACCGGGCTTTAGATATTAGTATCAATTCACATAATAATTTACCTATATTTTAATGCAATTTGGATTCAAATGTAAATAACCAAAAAGAGAGAATTATAAAAACCAAAATTGTAAACAACAGTGTCACAGACTGTTAGTATTCTCTGGCAATAGCAACTCCTAGCGCGGAGTTGCGAATTATATTCGGATTTCAGAGACCGATTTTGCATTGTTATGAAAATTAATCAATTTACGGCAATATGACAATTCGGTTAGTTAGGTTAGGTGACGCATATGCAAAAGATCCACTTTTTACTTAAAAATAACGTATTAACGGAATTACTATTCACTATCACCTCATTAAAACTTACTTCCCCATACCGAATCCTCGTTTTGCGACACTGCAAGAGGCGTAACGCAATTGACCGCCGAATGTCCCAAGTTCAAAATAAAAAATAAAAGTAGATTCGGTGCGAGGGCCCGAATTATTCGTACAAATGTTTGTTTGGAAACGTCTGTCATTTTCCGCTGCGGTCGCTGCTTAGCTTTTTCCAAGTAGTGGCTGAAAAAAAAAAACGTCGTTTAAATAGAACGTTTAGAAATTTTCTTCACTTTCTCGATTGCAATAAAACTATGACATATACAATACATATATCGACTAATACGGATCTGGCTATTGGATTTTCTTTACCTATTAAGACTACTTTTCAGGCCTATTAGTTTTATATAGGTATTTGATAATATAGTGGCCCTACTACGGTAAACATTGAAGCGCCATGGGCGCCATTGATTGATTTTCGTAGAGGTGGTAATGATTTTTTCTACTCCCATCTGTAAAATACCTAATTACCCACCGAACTAGCGTGCGGGAAGAGTCACTTTACCACGTTAGTTTCGTTTCCCATGAATTCGAGCCACTTCGGACATTTCCGGGATTTTACCGCACGGATTTGGGAGCAATCGGATGTTTTCGGATATATTTCCCACGTTTTGAATTTTGACGTTTGTTGATTCTGACGGTCATGTCAGTGAATGTATTCGTGTTTTGCGAAAATGTACAAAAAACTAACGGTCGTAGAAAAAGTATAGACACGTTCGGTAAACTTTTTAACTCACTCTTTTATTAAAAACTCGCTCCGATTTCCACACATTTAACTCGTTTTCCCAGAATATTCAACAAGATCTAGGCCTATTTTGACAAAATTCTAATTAATTGCCGATCTGTCAGCAGCCATGTTAGTTGTCGAATGCCGCAAGGTCATTGGTTAAAAAAGGGATTTTAAAACTCGATTTTTTTTCATAGTTGCTTCATAAGTTCCTGTATTATAGACACAAGCAGGGCCTCTATATATCTAGTAGCTATAAGGTTTTATAGCTGATAAAGAAATAATTTAAAGAAATGAAAGCGGAATATTTCAATTCCTTAAAATAATAAAAAGGTTTATCAGGTGACTAATCTGCAGAACTGGGATATCGATATGAGGAAACTAGAGGAATCTTTACTTTTTTCTAAATATTTAAATATTAAATATACTTACTGGAAAAAAGCAGTTTTAGATGCTAAAGTTATAATGGTCAAACTGAGAACTATTACAATGGTGCCAATCGTAAAATAGATGAACGCCGAATTTTCTATAGAATCCACCACGCTAACTGACACAATTTGCACAAGTCCATTCAAAATGCCAGCAGCATTTTGCCCAAACAAAAACACGTACATATACTTTGTGGGGAAGCATACGAAGAGCATCATACTTGCTGTAGTGTACACAGTTTGCGAAGCTGAAAAAATCACATTATTTCTAATCCGAGTATTTTCTAGCATGCATAATGCAGTTTCTCGAGTAATCCGTACCGAATTACAAGTCTTTTAGTTTATAAAATTTAATTATGTTTCTTTTAGAACCACGTATATGATATGACTAATTTTTTAGAAGTTTCACAAATGATGAAAGTCCCAACAAAATAATAATCAATCAATGAATAATCATAAGAAAAGCGAAACGATCCTATAAAATTGCAGAATGCCATAAAAAGTAACCTAACTTTCAATTTAAAAATTCAACAATTGAAACATTACTAAAAACCACTTCAAAGTGTCCTGTTTTAATTAAAGTCCATATGTTTGTCTGATAATTCAAGAAAAAATTAAAGACTGCAGGTTCCTTTCTAATTTATTAGAATCTCTATATACTTTTAAAGAAAATTATTCCAATAAATATAACAACCAATATAACTAGGTAATCGTATTTTTGTAGAGAATTATAGCTGAGATTTTCCAAAGGTTGGGAAAAATTTTATATAAAATTTTAATTTTCCCACGCATCCTACAACCTTCCTAATCTAATATTTTTAGTTATTAGTTACTTTTTTGGAAAACAGTTATGTTTAACTTGACAGTAGGAAGCGAAAAATTTATATCATTTAGCTTAAAAAAATTCTTACACATAATCATCGCATAACAGGCCATGGAAACGACGAAGAACAGTAATTGGACTGAAACAAAAATATAAGTAAAAAGTTAAAAATAAATTTAATATTTTAACGACACGTACATACATATAATTACTTACAGGAATCAGTGTTTATTTTTGTAAAGATTTGCATAATTAAAAAATTTGCGGTAAGCATAAGTAGAGCTCCCCTTATCCTGACTAAAAACGGAAACCGTTGACCAAAAAGAATGTTGAGCAGATTAAATACCAACACAGAACCCGCGCCAGCTATTATATTGGCCGTACTGTAATAAACTTGGAGTCCGGTTCTGTCATCAGACGAGTAATTCGCGATCGACGTATTTCTGAATTTGTACAACCAATACTGAAAACAAAAATAGTTTTATTCCTTTAATATACAAGTTAGTGTTGTAAATTCAAATAGGATTTTTTTAAAAAAGAACAATAAGCAACCTCTATGTATGGCAGAAATTTAAATTTTTCAAACTGTTATTATTTATCATTTTATATTAATTATTAATTAAATAAAATGAGGGTGATATACCCATATTTTTGTTAGCACAATTAATTTTCCCAACTTACTGATCGGTACTTACGTTATTGGCAGCCGAATAGAAAGTGTACGACAAAAACTGCGAAATTCCGAGGAAAAGAAATACGAATACGAAAAAGCTATATTTGTCCCGGGGAAAACTCCCACTTTCCGTAAGAAAATATTTCTTCTTCGTTTCTTTTATGTATGGTGGTTCGATATTACTACAAATATCCTCTAAAAAATGCGAAAAATTAGAGCAATAATAGCTTCCAAAACGATCTGACTTGCCTTGTGGAGTATCCATCTTAGAACCGACACTATATGAATAAAATAAGTAATATTAATAAAAACTATATAAATAAATAGTTCAAAAAAATATTCACTGCAGCAGTAAATCGGTACCGTAGTTTATAAATCTATTTTAGATAGCAAAGACGCGTACATATATTTCAATGTTATCTGTAACGATAAACATTAAAATTTTTAAATAATCACATTCTCGGATAATGTCGAAGGCTGTATAGTGATATTTAGTGGCAGTTGCAGTAGCTGGGAAAAAACGCAAACAATTCATATTTTCATGAGGGACGAGTCACAGAGCGGCGTTTTTAACAGTTGATAAGCAAAAATAAAATTAATCTTACATTGAATCTGAATCAATGATGGGTTTGGTGTTAGACTATCCCTGAAAACCGGAGAGATCTGCCAAGGAGACCTTGTGTACCGACGTGTGAAAATATTGGAAAAAAATAGAAATGAAATTTAATTAGAGAACTTAACAATAAAATAAAAATACGTCCAACATTCGTGTGAGTAGATTATCCAATTCTTATATAATTCTTTCTCGAAACAATTTCAGAAAATTTCATAGATAAATCGGCTTAAATTGATTCAGAAATGGTGCAATACTTTTGTTTACTTTGGTTAGTAAGGTGTTAAATGACAGGATTTTGTCGCTTCTGCCGGCATCGTTCAGGGTTATAGCGGTTACTTAATTTAAGTACAATTGCTAGTTTTCGGGGAGTTCTGTTTTGAGGACATGACATGACATGACATACTTTTGAATGAGTTATAAGTTATGGTCATAAAACCTATATACCCAACACTTCACATATCGTTGCCAAGTCTACAATAATTAATAAAACGCTTGTTATGTCATGTTCGTAAAATACTTCTATTTTTTCGAATACCGCTACTGACCCGGTAAACCCGGAAAAGGAATCTAGTAACACTCCTATGATACATGCGGTTACATGATACATGATACAGTTACTGAGTACCGCTGAGCTGCATTATGAATTATTGCAGCAACCCAATTTATGAGCATAAAATTTTAATGGCGGAGATTTCTAAAAGAATTTAATCTACCAGAACGATAAATAAATATATGAAATGGCGATTTATCTAACACAAATATACCATAACAAAACTAAGGAATTATTTATGGAAACGCTATAATCCCGCCAGAGAAAAAATTGCGACGAAGACTACCGAATAAACGCCTATAGAAACACATTAGCACGACGAGCGATAAAGCACAAAGAATCACTTTCGACTTAATTTGTGTGTAGACCGAATTATATCCGCTGAAAGGATCAAAGTCCAAGAAATTTATCCACCGAGTAGACTTGTAATATTTACAGAAAGTGATACATATATCGAGATTAACATTCACTACATAATCAAAACATTGTCAGAAAGGTCTTATCGTTTTCAAATAAGCATATCAGTCATTGTTTATCAGTTCCTCTTTATTTTTTCCCAGTTATTACTATTGACTTAGTGACTACAATACAATAAGAATATTACCGCTACTCTAATACTCCAATGCTGCATTTTGGTACTGGCTAGGTCTAAACATATATTTTAGTACTGTAAATAGCGGTGATTTTAGTCACGAGTCCAGCGAATGTAAACCGTTATTATTAAATTGTACTTTTTCGCTAATTCCTGCGATCCGTGCAATGCTGCATAGCACTAGGGAAGTATTGACAACGGAGCCTTTGAGGTACCAGGCGACTGCCACAGTGGTTAGCCTTACCCCATCACTGCGGGCTCCCTCGCTCCCTCAGGTTGGACCTAAAACCCCGGTATTATTGCACTGGACCAGCTCGTTACTTATCTTAATTAAAAAATATATTTCTGTGGACGTGCTGGGCAAGTAAGCACGCAAATATTGTGAGGAAACTCCCAAAGACCATATCCAATGTTTCGATAGAGAAAATAACCACCGCTCGCATCACCCCAAAAAAATAATATAATACAAAACTTCTGGATTTCTCCTGCGTCTGTTTTTGCTGAATCGAACTTGCTGACGCTTCGCCAATTATCCTGTTGGCTTCTTCAGAGTTTGACTGAAATGGTATTTTACTCTGTACCTGCTTATATATATATATATATATATATATATATATATATATATATATATATATATATATATATATATATATATGTTTGAGGGGGGCGGAGCTAAATGAGAGACATAAACACCGTCTCGGATGACTGAGTCGCAGTTAAGATTGTTAGGTTGTTGATTTCTATAGACTCTCGGATTTTTCGTTGGTAGAAGAACTGATTACAGCAAAAACAGGCGCAGGAAGAATCCAGAAGCTTTGTAAAAAGTATTACAGTAGCCTGTGGAAGTTTCTTTGAAAAATTTAATTACTATTTCGCAATCTCGTTCTTACTTAGGTGAACTTCAAAATGATCAACTCAACTCAACCACCTTTAAACCGTCGGAATAGTATCTTATGCAACAAGTGCGGTAAACGGCATTTGACTCACGAGTTTATTTGACACGAGCGCAGCGTAGCGGAGCGAGTTTTTAATAAACGAGCGAGTTAAAAAGTTTACCGAATGTGTTGCACACAAATATCTCCGAAAACATCCGATTGCTCCCAAACCCGTGCGGTAAAATCCCGGAAATGTCCGAAGTGGCTCGGATTCGTGAGAAACGAAACTGCCATGGTAAAGTGACGCTTCCGCACGCCAGATCGGTGCGTAATTAGGTATTTTACAGACGGGAGTAGAAAAATATATAATACTACCCCCAATTATGAAATACCCAAAAATTCGTTATATTTATTGCGCTATCTCAAAAAAATCAGACGTCCCAGATATTGAATTAGGCCATTGAAGAGCCACTTAGGAGAGCTTCAAAATGGTGTATTAGTCAAATACCTTGAAATGGTCGGGAAGATATAAAACTAGCCACAATAATGATATGCCCAAAAGTTCGATATATTTATTTCGCAATCCCAATAAAATCTGACGTCTCAGATATTAAACCAGACCATTAACGAGATGTATTATTCAACCACCTTTAAACCGTCGGAAAGATATAAAACTACCCCAATTAATGAAATACCCTAAAATTCGTTTTATTTATTTCAGAATCTGAAAAAATCTGACATTGTCCCAGATATTGAATTATACCATCGTGGGGCATGGAACGAAGTCAAGTTTTTTTGAGATTTCGAAATAAATTTATTTATTTGTAGATTTATATCTTCCCGACCGTTTCGAGGTGGTTGAGCAGCACTATAATCGTCTAATTTAATATCTGGGACGTCAGATTTTTTTAATACTACGAAATAAATATAATGAATATTTGGGTATTTCATTATCGGGGTAGTTTTATATCTTCCCAACCGTTTCGAGGTGGTTAAGTAATACATCATTATAAAGCTATAATATAACCAACTTTTGGGTATTTCATAATTGGGGGTAGTTTTATATACATCATGGTCAGATATTTTCCAGATTGCGAAACAGTAATTAAATTATTTTTTGAGGTGATGCGAGCAGAAAAGGGGTTATTTTCTGTATAGCAACATTAGATATGGTTTTTGGGAGTTTCCTTGCAATATTTTCGTGCTTACCCAGTATGTCCACAGGAATATGTTTTTTTTTTTAAATTAAGATAAGTAACGAACTAGTCCACTGTAATATTTGCAAATCCGAATCCAAATCCAAATCTAACTTCAGCCATATATGAATCAGCCATCCAACCAGGGGAATCAGGCAACTAATCAGGGCATAAAAACCGGAACCGATTCAAATTCCTGTGCCTCACGAGCGTTGGAGCAGGTCGCAGGGCATTCCATGATCCGCTTCATTCGGAACCAATGAAAGACTGATTGGAATCTCTATCAAAGGGACGTATCAAGAAAACTTTAAGCCTAAACCTCTAACATTTAGATCAATGAACCGAGGGATTGGAAGCTCTATAGTCTTCTTTCGAGGAATATTGTCCTCTTAACGTTGTCAAAGAGGTAAAACAGACTCTATATTGAAATGATGAACTAGAGGCCTTACGCAAGGTTAACCGAGGCACAAAAAGGTTCAAAAACCTCATTAAAAAGAGGTCTCTTCTCGGTCCTCTTTCAAGAGGCAAAAAAATATCATAAGAGCGCCGCTGTATCAAATTACCTGTTCGTCGTTGGTTGTTGGATACATACCACTGTCTTGGAGGGGAACGCGAATTATTTTTATCCTAAAAGCTGGACGTGTGCACCACGACGTTTTTATTATAAACGAGCGAAAGGCTGATAGAGCGGTATCTAAAGGAAGGATCCCTCTCCTCTGGTAACTTATGTCTGGTCTTAAAGCTTATGCAATCTGTGCAATGTTATCAAAGGAAAGTATCTAGGACTTGTGGAGGAGCTCATGTCCAAGAGTTCTTGATCGAACTAAAGAAAAGGTGTGAACGAAAAGGTTTGTCAATTAATAAGACAAAAATGGACTACTTCAGTTCACAAACAGGAGGAAGCGAGGCGCAATTTGTGGGTCTGTTCTGTAGCAATGAAATCGGTTCGGACAGTGAAGTACCTGGGGTGACTCCGGACTCCTCGCTGGTTCACGTTATTGAAATAAGTCGGAAGGCGTGCGCGTCTCTACGGACACACAAGAAGAGCACCGACAACTGCCATCTGTCTCAGGGGGGAACCAAAATGTCCTCTCTCTGAAGAGTGGTATGATTGAAGCCACTTTATGCTTCCATACACTAAACAGATCGAGGATAAGTACACAAAGGAGGCTCGGGGAACGGGTGTATATGGCAGCGCCCCCAGGGGACAGATATTTGTGTCTCAGAGGATCTATCCCAATATATCCCAGGCAGAGATCTATACAATATTGGTGTGTGGTCACGAGAACCTAAACAGAGGGTATTGGCACAAGCACATCTATATTTGCAGCGACAATCCAGCAGCTGTCCATGCTGTTATCTTTGTGAACGTCAGTTCGGGATTGTCAAAAAAACACTGAAAAGACTGGCGGAATGTGTACTTTTATTCTTTAGGAAGAGAGACAAGACAAATATGGATGCATATGACAAGACTGAAGGAATGTAATTCTGTCAATCAAGTCTGGGTACCTGCTCATGTGGGTATTGAATCCAATGAAATGGCAGACAGGCCGGTTTCCGTTGGAATAACAAACAAGGTACAAAATGGTGGGCTGAATAAACTGCTTGAGAGGCAGTTTGCTCTGCACTTTGAAACTTTGCTGTGAATGAGGAAGTAAATGGTTCTAATTGAGGGACACTCTACGCTGCAGGACCTAAAGTGAACTCTGTTTCAGATGCGGGCGATTATGGACGTTGATAGGCAACTATCCAACTACCCATGAGGTACTATACTTCCTCGAGAGTACAGGGCCCTTCTAGGGGAGGAAGTGAAGACGTGCGGGATCGAAAGGTCTGAATGCAGCGTCCTGGCCATAAACAATAGGGACGCGCAACAGATAGAATAGGAATGGGAATAGTAACATTCCACTTAAGAAAATATGAAAACAAAAACAAAAATTTTAAACCGGGTCCCAAAATATCAAAAAAGTAACCATTCCAAATTTTCCCACTAATTTATACAATGATTTATACATGATAAATTCTTCATGGTTACCAAATATGTAAATCTTATTTACAATAAGAAAAATGTATCACTTCTTAAGTTTAAGTAACTCTTACAGACAATATAAATCCAGCATTACATTCTAGAATTTTTGCATTGAAATTTTACATGAATTAATAAAATAATTAAGTTATATTAAAACAGATAATTAACATAATCATTGCTTAACATTTACCACAACTCCCTTTATTATCACAAGTTATTTTCACTAACAAGTATCATAAGGGTATTCACCCAACAATACTGGTTGCACCACGTAATGCTAGATACCCTGCTGTAATATCCATTGGCAAATCAATAATTGTAGCGTACTCCTCCTTATTTGCATATCTCAACCTAGTTTGAGGATCGGTATAGGGGGCGGGCAGCCCCGATAAATCTGAGAATTTTTCCGGCGGCTTAAAAGATGGGGGTCCATTTATGGAACTGTAATGAACAGCCTGTTCAGGCCAAGGCAGGGTCTTCTCGGATGATATAATTTGCTTAAGACTTTTCCAAGTGCGCTTCTTATTAGACTGTCTGCTCAGATGCCATGCCGCAGATTTAAATATAGGTTTATTCGACACTTTTTGGTCTTCCGTCATTTCGACACCGGCTTAACACAACCACAGGTTGGTACAAGTTCAATTCAAATCAATTATGAATTTCACAAAAAATGTTGGGCAAGACTGCTAGGATCATTCGCCCATTGCCGACTTCCGTCGAGGATTTTCGCTTCTGGCCAATGACCACCACGCACAAAGAAAAAAAATAACCAATAATTTGCTCAGCTAGCAAAAAACGATTCTGAAAGATACCAAAAAAATCGGCTTCCCCCCGCTTCCACCAAGGACCATCCGGACCCATCCGGCCTCCATACCGGCGTGAACAGGGAAAAACGAGGGGGCCGACGACAATTATAACTTTAAAACATGCACTGAACACTAAACACACTAAGTCCACACAGTGAAAACCGATATCAAACTTTTGAGGACGAATACAAGGGATTCTGTCGGGAGCGAACGGAGGTTGAACCGCCGCGTGCAATGCTCCACCACAGAATTCCGTTAGTACAAGTACAAGTACAAAGATGCGTTTTACAATTACTGTTGGGCTCGACTGCTAGGATCATTTGCCCATTACCGGCTTGCGTCGAGGATCTTCGCTTTTGGTACACGTACAATACGTACAAAGAAGAAATATAATTGCAAAATACAAAATCAAATATCCCTTTATGAAGTAACCATATTCCCACAATAATATACAGAAAATATTGGTTTCTCGGTAATCCTGCAATTTACTGGTTTCCGAGTTCAATTGTAATAAAGTAAATGCGTTTATTATTTATAGTTTTCCTTGATAATGAGCTCGCGTCAGTTCTTTTTTTTTTGACGGCCGCTCAGCACGTTCGTATTTTTCGTTAAAATCGAACAAACACAAACACTCCCCATGGCTCGGGTTGGAATCGAATCCATAACTTCCGAAAGTCAAGTTGGCAGGTCTAACGCCTAACCATCCCCGGTCCATCGTTTCCCGTGTTCTAACTAACCAATACAAGTTATCTGTATATGGTATATACATGTAGTATGACAATTACGTGAATTTAGGAATTTTTTAGAAATGTGGGTTTGTAAATTAAATTTAATATTCTTTTCGTAGATACCTGTCCAAATTGTTTTGGATAGATAGATGTTTTAGAATTACGGTTTTTCAGTCAAATATATAAACGGAGGTTAAGGTAACTACTTTGCCGTGAGGTTAGGTTAGGATATAAATAGACATGTGTTTCACTTTCAGTGCTGTCACTTCGATATGCACCGTCTGAGTGAGGGTCTCTTTAAATTTGCCGTGAAGAGTTCCCTTAATGGCGTAAATAATCTATCATTTTTTGAAATATGAAGAATGAGCCAATGTGTTTTCAGGTACGTTACTTTTCTCGAGAACCGCAGAGGAGACCTTCATTCATATCTCGACTGTACGACAATTTCAGGGAGGAATTGGCCAAAAATAAAGAAATGAAAGAATCGTTAAAAAAATTTAAGCAGGAAGCTGAAAAGCTTGAGCAGAGTGATGCCCTAAAAGCAGCCAGACAAAAATTTGAAAGTGTTGAAAAGGAAGCTTCTAAAGGCAGTGAAGTATTCAAAGAACATTTGAGTAGCATAAAAGAAAAGGTGCAAGGTGTAATTGATGAAGCCGGAAAAACAGAACTTGCAAAAAAAGCTGGAAAAATATCAGAAGAAATCAGTAAGACCACCCACAATTTGGGAGAAAGGGCACAAGAAATCGGCAAAAGTGGTGCATTTCAAAGCATATCGCAAGCCACAAAAGCTGTGAAACAAGAAATTGAAACTACCAGTATGCAAGGTAAATAAATAAACTGCCGCATTATAGTTGCAAAATAAAAGAATGTTTTTTCCTAGGTAGAGTGTATACAAGTCCATTAAAACTTCGAAAAAGAACCGAAACTTCTGCAGTACAGCATCAAAAATATTATGAACCCAATACTGAAGCTGTTGGTATAGAACTTCATAAAGATTCTAAATTTTATCAGTCTTGGCAGAATTTTAGAGAAAACAACCCCTATGTGCATAAAATTATTGACTTAAAATTAAAATTTGATGAGAGTGAAAATCCTGTTATCAGAGCTTCCAGAGTTCTGACAGAAAAAGTATCAGATATAGTTGGCGGACTTTTTCAAAAAACAGAGCTTTCTGAAACTCTCACAGAGATATGCAAAATTGATAACACATTTGATACAAAGAGATTTTTAAAACAATGTGAAACAGATATTATACCAAATATTTTAGAAGCAATGACTCGTGGAGATCTGGAAGTGCTTAAAGATTGGTGTCATGAAGGTCCATATAATCTATTTGCTATTCCAATAAAGGAGGCATTTAAAAAAGGTTACAAAATTGAGTCAAAAATATTAGATATTGACAATGTTGATTTAGTTATGGGAAGGGTTATGGATCAGGGACCAGTTTTAATAATATCTTTTACTTCTCAACAAATGATGTGTGTAAAAGATTCAAATGGGAATGTGGTCGAAGGTGATTGTGAGAAAGTCATGAGGGTAAACTATGTATGGGTTTTGTGCAGGGATGTAACAGAAACAGACCCCAGGGCTGCCTGGCGGCTATTGGATCTATCGGCGAGCAGTAATGAACAGCTTGTTTGAAGTTTACTTCTACCAACTGTAAAAATAATTCACCGCCTCAGTTTGTCTACTTGTTGTTCGTTAATAAGGCAAATTGAGATATGTACAAAGCAGAAGAGATTGTTGAAGCTGCCTTTGGTGGTCAGCTGGAGTTAAGAATCTGGTTGTGCTCATGTCAGATTCAGATGTGGCTGTTAACAAATCTTACTGTCCTATTGTAAATTTTTTAATATAATTTTTTAACTTATTCTAGTGTTCATGCTAACTAAATTATCAGTTTCTACTAACCACAAATTGTTGTTTTGGTGAAGCAATATCACCAAATAATTGTCTGCACAAACTTCGATCCCATAAATCAAGATCTTTTATTACAAGATTATATAATCTTAACCACTTTTTAAACAATTTTATTTGACATAACAAGAAAACAATTACTTATAAAATTGAACATCTATCACAACACAAGGAAGAAATTATGAATTTAACATATCCAGCAGCTCTCATTAGAACTACCTGAAAATCTTCACAACTGTTACCAGTATAGGCTTGCATACAAGTTCTGCAGAAAACTAACATTTTCACCCATTAACTATTCCAATGTGTTTAACTTTACACTTCTAATCCAGGAATTAATCCCTTAACAACAGGTTTTTCTGTCCTGATATGCCAAACATACACTTTGGTACAGTTCTCAGCCAAAGGCTCTAATTGTGCTTTTGTGGTAAAGTAACTTAAAAATTCACTCTCCTGGTAACCCTTCTCCATACTGTAAGAAAATGAAGCATTTTTCTTCTGCAAAATTAAGTCCAGGTTGATAGCAAAACCAGCCATGTCAATAGCAAATGGTCTTTCTGGCTTCCATCCACTTCGGTAACCCGTCACTTTACCTAAGCATCGGAAAAATATTGAAAATAAATTTTAAATTCTAAGAATCCTAGTTTACCTGTCTTTGGGTCTACTATTGGGGCCTCAGCATTTAAACCTCCCACTAGTCCAACTGGCCAAATTCCAACCTTCTTTACTTTGCTAATCTGTCACGAAAAAAAAAGTTAATTATACATCATATAACTGATGGCCTTATACTCCAAAGAGTTAAACACACCACAAATTTTAAAGGTTTGTTGTTTGTGTCAGTTGTCTTTCTATTTTTTTGTCCCTGTAATAATAAATTTTACATGTCAAGAAAGCATCCACTATTTTCTTGAATTTCTTATCTATAAAAAGTGATGGTAACAGTTCAACACAATAATATTTGCATTTTAGTTAAAAAGGTACTTACTTCATCATTTCAATTTTAAACACAAATGAACAAAAACAATTCTAGTCTTTTAAGAAGCAATTTTGATAAAACATTTCAAGGGTACCTCATTGAACAACTTGACACTGTAGGCATTGTCATCATCCATAAAATAAACTACTCCTTTTTCCCTGCCCAAATTCAAATTATCTCTGATCCATTTTAAAGCAATATTCCTTTGTTCTACTCCTCTATGTCTTTTCCATCTTGGATCCTACAATACATAGTGATTAAAAATCGATTGAAATAGTAGATTGTAATATATTGTTTGGCTAAGAGAATAAATAATTATTGACAATAGAATTTTGTTGACTTGATTGTACAAAGCCCATAGTAATGTATGTGTTTCATTGAATTTTTGTTTCTCGATGTCACATTTAGGAATTTATTCTTTATATTTACCTTTTCTTGCAGTTTCTCAAAAGGTGGCGTTTTGGCATTTAAATGAGTAAAAATAAGCTTTGATTCTTTTAACAAATTTCTAACCAACTCAGTTTTGGAACTAGAATCTTCAACAACAATCCAGTGCAAATTGGGAACTAGCCTCAAAGTTTGGGACAACCGCGTTAATTCCGCTTTTTGGACATGTCGCCAATATGTAGGGGTAATAGCATAAATAGTTGGATCAGAAGCCTTCTCAGATTCAAGATGTTCTAAAAGAAGGACTTGCTGCTCAGTAAGTTGAAGTCTTTCTTTGTGAATTTCTAATGCTTCTTTAAGAACTTGCAATTTGTCTACCCCTAAAACCAAATTAAGACTATAATAAATAAAGTGTTTTTTTTAAGCTCACCTGATTCTATGGCACAAAGTTTCCATAAAATAATTATAGCTAAAAGAAAAAGAATATAAAAACTCAGTTTTCTAGATATCATTTTGTTGTGATTTTGGGATCCTTCCATGAAAAAAATATCGAACGTAAACTCATTAAAGACTGAAGGACAAATTGTCAAACTTGAAAGAATTCAAACATTAGTTGCTGGTTAAACTAAAGGGCAGACATGAAAGTAACTTAACGTAGTTTGATTTGTTTTTATTATTTATTTTATAAAAGCTTACTTGGAATAAGCAATATTGCCACAACTATCCTCCTAAAGAAAGATGGATGAACCCCTGTAAGCAAATGAAAAATTCGAAAATTGTGCCAATTCATTTTGATTGAGAAATCATGTATATTTGTTTCTACATTTTAATTCTACGTACATTTTTGCCAGAATAAAAATAAACCCAACACCTAGCTATATATCTTATCTCGATATATGTATTTGAATTAAGATTAGGAGAGGTATTTGGGTAATTTATTTTGTTGGTAATTGCCAGCTGATGCGTCAAACAAATTCTAACCTTACTTTATAAATATTTTACATTTTACATTGAATGTAAAAGTTGGAAAAAACTGCAAAATCTCTCAGTAAAGCAGTAAATGTTGCTGTATTTAATATGGAGAATCAACTCCCATCAAATTTTGATTTGATTGTGGTAGGAACAGGTAAAATACAGGTTCTTTAACACTAGACTCAAGATGCTAATATAGGCATAAATATGTTTTGTTTGGTGTGCGGTGTACATACAATGCAATTTTTTCTCATAACAAAGTGAATGTGTAAATTAGTTCTATTATGTTTGTAGGTTTGATTGAATCAATAGTTTCAGCTGCGGCTAGTCGAATAGGAAAAACAGTGTTGCACATAGACAGGTGAGCATAATTCTGTTATGCACTTAATTATCCTGATGAGCACCCTGGTATTTTATTTTAGTGATAATTATTATGGAGGTCATTGGGCTTCCTTCAGCTTAACAGCAATTCAAAATTTTTTAAAAGAACAATTGGAAAGTCAACATCCCAAGTCTAGCTCTGAATTATCTATAGGGAACAATTTGTTTAATGTTAAAAATATTGAAATTCATTCAAACATTCCAAAAAAGACAGCTAATAGTTCAAGTAACAGTATCGAATTTCCAAACTGTAGTGAACATGCAAATTCATCAGTTTCGGTGGATAACCTACATACAAATATACAAGAATGGCAATTTACTACAGAAAGCCTTTTAAATGATTCTCGAAAATTTAATATTGATTTGGCGCCTAAGGTAATAAATATTTAAGTCTGTATCACACATATTTATTATTAGGTATTCTATTTGTTTTTTAGTTGCAATATGCAAGAGGACAATTTGTTGAACTTCTTATCTCATCTAATATTGCTCGCTATTCCGAATATCGAAGTGTTAGTAGAGTCTTAACTTGGCTTAATGGACAGCTAGAAGTTGTACCATGTTCAAGAGCTGATGTTTTTGCAAATGATAAGGTAACATTGATAGAAAAAAGGATTCTTATGAAACTCCTTACGTCTTTAGAGGATGATAGGCAAAACTTACAAGGTTTGTTTTTGTCTGACTGGTTAGACTATGTCAATTAGCATTGCATTTTAAATGATTCTGATTTATTAATAAGTTATATGTTTCAATTGTTTTGTATCATATTTGAAAAACATCTAATTAATATCTTTTGCTTTGCAGAATATGAAAATAAAATGTTTTCTTCATATTTAAAAGATAAAAAGCTAACTTCAAATCTGATACATTATGTATTATATGCCATTTCACAAAGCACAGACTCTACACCTTGCTTAAAGGGAATTGAAAATACTAAGAGATTTCTAAATAGTTTAGGGAGATTTGGTAAAACTCCATTTCTGTTTTCAATGTATGGCAGTGGTGAAACAACTCAAGCATTTTGCAGGTTGGTTGAGCAAATTTTAAACATGGAGCGTTTTTAAAAAAGCAAGTGTGTTTTAGATTGAGCGCTGTTTTTGGAGGAATCTTTGCATTGAGTCAACCACTGCAACATCTGATTTTGAATGACCACCAGGTAGTAGCACTGGTTTCGGGTGATCAAAAAATCTATGCCGATAACTTCGTTATCAGCCTTCAAAAGGCACCTGCCAAATTTGTAAAATCTGTGCAAATTAAGGAGTATATTTCTAGAGCTGTATTTATTACAGATTGTTCACTTATGCCAAGTGAACAAGAACATTTAACATTGTTGATGTATCCACCAGAGAAGGGCAAACACCTAACTACTCTAATTGAGATGGGTTCACTCACTGGAACATGTCCTAAAAATTTATGTAAGAATGCAGTTTTCTCACTGACTTAAAATGTGGAATGTAAAATAATCATTTAATTGCTACAAATTTGTTTTCTGAGACTGAATTTTTTATAGTCTTAGTGCACCTGATAGCCAAACAAGAAGTAAATCCTCAAGATGATTTCAAACATATTGTTCAGAATTTATTTACAAATGAAGTTAATGAAGAGAACTTAAAGGCTAAATGCAAACCTCAAATTTTGTGGTCATGTTATTTTTCCCTGCCAAATACTTGTAATCTTGATCTCAAGGCCCACAACTGCAAGAATGTGTATGTATGTGGAGGACCAGATTTGGATTTGGACTATGACTTAAGCATGGAGACAGTTAGTATGGATTTCTTCATTATTAACTTTGGGTTATAATTGTTTTTAGTAGTTTTTAGATACTTTTATTCCATACCTGAAATAAATCAATGAAAAATATTTATTTTAGGCAAAATCAATTTTTAAAAAAATCTATCCAGAAGATGAGTTTCTACCAAGAGCTCCCGATCCTGAAGAAATAATATTTGGTGAAGAACCTGACACTAGTGAAAGATCTGTTTCTCTAGGTAATGTGCACCACAAAGAAGAAAGTGGCAATATACCATTACAAAATCAGGACAATGACAACTCAACCAGTTAAATTTTCCTTTAAATTATTTATTTGTAAATGCATTACAATATATGTGTACCTTTAAAAAAAGCCTTCTTGAATTATGGCAAAATGTAAGGTGAATCACGTCATCCCCATGCTTGTGTTTTGCAGTAATGAAGCACCAATTTACCTTCTGTACTATAGCAATCATAGAGATTCCGAACGATTTGGTCTGGCGAAGGTGCAAAAGATTGGTTTATGTATAAAAACTGAAACAAATATTTTGTACTGGTGTATGACTCACCATAATCTTACCAATTTCTCGTTCGGATCTAATTTAATGTATTTTTTTATAAATTCTGTAATCCAAGCGATTGGTTTATCACTATCAACAGACCATTTCTTCTTTTTCATTATAGGAGCATTCCCGGTTGGTTTAAGTAAAATATCAACTAAAAAGAATGTACCAGTGTTGAATCTATTTCTATAGAACATTATTTATACCTTTTGACTTATTTGTTTTAATATTTGTTTGATCATTATCCCCGACAATATTTATCGATTGTACCGAGTTTTCAATTTCCTGGATATCAGTAGAAGAATCCTGTTGACTCATATTTTGAGTAAAAGTTTTATTTTATACACTGCACAAACGATAATGATAGACCATTCAATATTTTTGAAAAATTTAGATAAATTCTACTTTAACGTTTGTTACTTAGGGAAAATTACTCAGATCATACGGTCATAAATGACCATCAATTTGAAATAATGAACATTGGTTACCACAGTTCGCTTGTTTTCCATGGTAACCACTGAACATATCGTTTATCTATTCAAGTAACCCACAAAGAAGGCGGTAAACGTTTGACGGTGGTCCGATGTTGGCGTTAGCTTTCTGCATTTTAATTTTGTAGAAATAAGGAAATGTTTGATTAGCTTCTATTGTTTTCGTTGAGCAAATACGTATTTACACCATTATTTACTGCAGTCAAGCATTTAATGGCTTTTACCGACTGGTAATAATACTTGTAAAATTAGAACAGCTAAATTTTGACACCACCTCCATTTTCTTGTGGACCAACGGATGACGTCCCGGCTTCCACTAGTAAGGCAGAAGGTAAAATCGAATTATACAGCATATTCCCACAATTTTTATGCGAGTTATTATTGTAATAAGTAGTGGCTGTGCATCTAATCCCATAACCGATACTTTAAACGTTAAATCTGATAATCGGTTCTCTTATATTAGAGCCTGACGCTGTTGTTTCCAGTTCTGATCAAGATTGGTTCGGGAGATTTGCCCAAGTACTACAAATTAGAAGATGCTCCATACAAATTAAAACAATATTTTTTTTATAAAATAATGCAAAACATGATAAATCTAGGTTTTTTTTATATCTAGAATCATTCATTCTAATATAAACAAAATGAATGGCCCTTAGGCTAAAATTAAATTAAAATTTTTGTAGACGCATTTAGTATTTACAATATAGTTTAACCTAAGAAAAGTAGTACTCACAGATGTCAATCCAGTAGTAAGACTTAATCCAAACAACACTTAAAATTGCTAAACTATGAAGTTTACAAGTTCATTAAAAACAGTCTTCTTTACTTTACAATTAAAACTACTGAGAAAGTCAGAAAATAAATCAATACGCTCGTTATTTGAGAGTAAAATATTTATCAGCTTGCACATTAGATTCAAAGGCGAGTTAACGCCATAGTTGGTCCTATGAAAATCAATGCTAAAAAGAGCCTTATTCCTTTTTCATATTTCTAGGAGAAATATGAAAAACAAGAGATGCCAGGAGATCTGATGCATTCATCAAGTTATTAAGGATCTTGTACAATGTACAGATGTCAAAAAATATGCGCCTACTCTCCAAAGATGTCAGATTCAAAAGCTTCATAATCTCTTCCTAGTTTATTTCCTCAAATGACATTCCCAATTTAAGGAACTAAGAAACTTATGCTGCACACGCTCTATTTTTTCCTGGTGAATTGCATAGTATGCTTGCCAGACACAGCTAGCATACCCTAAAATTGAACGCACAAGTGCACAGTGCAGCACCCTATATGTAAAGATGTTTTCAAACCCTTCAAAGTCGAAAAATAAACCCAAGCAATTGAATACCTCTGTTAGTCATGAAATGAAAAAAATGAAAATTTTTGGATCTGCTAAAGCTTACAATTTTGCACTTGTTTTTATTAAAAGTTAAATTGTTCTCTCTGCACCACAATGAAAACCTATCAAGAGCCTCCTGTAATCGAAGACAGTCACAAGGTGATTCTACAACCTTAAAGTCCGCAAATGCAAGAAAATGGCAAAAGTGAAAAATATTTTTTAACATTGAAAGACAAACTTCTATTTTGGAAACTTCTACAGTTCAGATTTTTCAGATATAAGAGAACAGGGTATTAAGTACAAAACTCATATATAGCCTTGTACAATGAAATAAATAACTAATCAAGATTATTTTACTTCATATTTGCATATCGTTTTTATAAGATTTATATATAAATTACATATTACTCTATTACCTAGTAAACCCATATTATGAATTTTACTTGTTTGAAATACAGCCCTTCCACAATAGACCACCACAGGACATAGAAATGATGAAATAGACTATCACAATTATTACTATTCCAACAATAAAGTAAAGTTTGACATTTTTCCAGAACATTGATCTGGCTAAGTTTCTGCTTGTTTGACGAAATGATACTGACTAAAACAGAAACCAGTTTTAAAACATGTGGATTTTCACAAGTACCACTTACTCCACTACTTAAATTTTCTGTTTTGTTCACTAATAGTTCAAGCCGTTCACCTCTCATAGCGATACTATCTACAAAAAAGGATAACAAATTAAGTATTTGTTCTTCTGAGCATTCACAGATTTACCAATGTTTTTAACCATAATGTTCTTTAACTCATCTAATTCACTATGGACTTTTGAAATAGTGTCTACATCATGTGACTCTGAATAGTGCTTCATTTCATTAGCCAGAACTTTTGCAAAATCAGCATTCATAGCATACCCAATAGCCGAACTAGCACTTGCGCCATACTGTGACTGAAATCTTCTTTTTATTTCGTTTAAAAATAAAAATGCTCTACTGCGTTCAAATTCCTAAAACGTGCATGTTATTGCAAAATTAAATAAAATTATTATTCCATACATTGTCTGTAATAGACATATAAATTATTCCGTGTTCACAAATGTAGTGAAACAAATAATTTCCATGTGAATATGTAAGTTTATCATTTCGCGCTGGTATTTTGGCAATGATCTGTTCTGTAACTTCTGCAAAATTGCCGGTGCAGCTTGCATATCGGGCTAAAATTGTGTTGCCTCTAGATATAACGCTATATAGTATTGGCATCTGCAATTGAAATCAGCAAATTATGTTGTGATTCAATACTTTGTTTTTTTTTTGCTTCACTTACTTTTATAACCAACTTCTTATAAACAGGTTTTAAGGGAGCATTTGACGTAAAATTTCTACGCTTGAACAATGATAACTACAAAATTTAATCCAAAATCCTTACTAAATTGATAACATCATCAGAAAACACAATGCAAAGCTACATACAAAACAAGGAACGATATAAATAAAGCGTGAATGATACAGTGTCAAGTAATCAGCTATCGGATGTGTAAAGCTTGCAAAACAAATGGTTAACTTTTTAATATCTTTTCTATCCAAGAAGGGATTTTGTTAGTAATTTGGTGCCGTGTGCACGGGTGGCGTGGTTGTGGTAACACTGTTAATTGATGATCTTTAATTAGACAGCAGTGCTCCTAGCTCTAAGCACTAGTTAGCATTACGTATTTTGTTTTAAAAAGTCGGGTTAAATATATTAATATTAAACAAATTGGTAACGATAAAAACACCGAACACCCGGTGAAAATCGAACCCACAGCTCTGATGATTTTTGATGTTATCCATCCATTAAATGTTAGTTAAAAACTACATTTACCCAATGGAGAGGCAGAGTTAATACAAACTCTGGCTCATGAAATGGTTAATCCCGCACCTACCAGCGGATTAACTCCAAACGCAGAAGGAACACCCTCTTATAAAACCGACCCTGAGATGTGAAAGGTATGATTAAGATAATACATTTATTTGACACTGTCCTAGTGTTTGATTCCAGGATATACGTCAGCTCTAAGTAGACTCACACAAAAGTGGATAGTTACTGCCTACAAGGGCTGCGTTACTTAGGTCCCGACAGACTGGAATACATACCACCATTATTGTCTTTGGTCTACCGTGATACTTTCCAGTTTAATGAAGTGCACATCGAAGCTTTTCTTTCCCCGCAAATTGAAGAATATAATTGTTTGTAGTCATATTGCCCACCATAAGTAATACAAAGAAGAAGAAGAATGGGTTATAGTTTTATCTATGTTGAAGATATAGAAGTTGTGTTTAAAGATCCATAATATATATCTCTGTTTGTATTCTGTGCCAATGGATTTATGACAACCCTACCGATTTTTCTGTGATGGAACAAAAATGTGGAAGGTGGAAACGCATGGAACGTAATTTGACCTTGAATAGAAGTAGATGCTAGACTAGAATTTAATTATATGCAACATATGCAACGTATTTTTGTTGGTGTATTACATCAGAAAATTTTACGTTTGGCTACGTCGTGTTGTGATTCATTGAAATAAATAAGAAACTAACTCCACGTGTTTAAACTTTGTTAAATATGTCAGCGAAAGAAATGTTGGATAGGCAAATTAAGGAACAAGCTGATATTGTAAGAAAATTAAAATCCTCAAAAGCTTCCAAAGAAAAGGTGAGTAATATTTGGTTTTGCTTTCGTTCATAGATTCTGAGTAATTCTGCTATCAATTTGGGCAAAAATGTGTCGAAGAGCTGATATAATTCAGAATATTTTCATTCTCCAGGTTGCAAATGGAATTTGCCATTCATTTTTACATAAAGAAGAATTCTACACCGTGTTGAACGTCTATCTCACAGATTGCAGCTATTTATGCTTCTATAATCCTTCCGTCGCCGATTCAATTATATACAAGTGTTTGTCTAGCGATGAAAAGTGTAAAAATTTGTTAAAAAAGTATGTACATGTGAATCGATGGTATAATCACATTAAGAGTTACTCAGAAGTTGAACAAAGTAAATTCTTGAAATGTGATCCAGTAAAACTTCGACAGTTAACTACATATTTTTTAGATGTTCAGGTAAATTGCAAAAACGTAGCTTAGATTCGTTAATTTGCCATATAAATTGCAAAAATGACGTTGTATACTCTGTTTAGAATATTGTGGCAGACAAAGATGTGCCATAGATATATTTACTTGACCTCTGCAGCTTATAGACCTCCTCAGGTCAGTGAAATTTAAACACTACTTTTTTTAAGTTTTGTTTTTTAAGAAAATATATTACAAAAAACATCAATATGCTTCTTCAAACTTTCAAACCACAATAAATTTCTTTTATTAGTCCCAAGCTAGATTGTTTTTCTAAATTAAGTAAATTGATGATGCAATGGTAAAATTCTGTTTAACCAATACTTAGAGCAATTTGTGGTTTGCTTATTTTAGTTTTTTGTTCTTGTTGCTTAACAATGAACCAAATTTTGTCATTTAGTAGTTGTATAACACTTTTTGGTGAAACAACACAGTTATCAGTTTGTGTCTTTATTAAGGATGATTTTGAACAAACAGGTTTGTTATTGTTTAAGTTTTTAACCAGCTAAGTTTTCTTACTATGTCAGTGTGCCAAATATTGCAATTTATTTACACAATTTAATATCAAATCCTGCAAATGAAATCATTAGGATTGATAAGGCCTAATACAATTTTAAACAAATTGTGCAGAAACAGATAAACTTGTTGACTTCAAAATTCCATGTCTTGCTTAAGGGGGGTCAACCATTTTTCTTGATTGCTTAGTGATAATGTGTCAAGCAAAAAATAACAGTAAAGTATTAAACTTTAGTATTAAATGCATAAAAAAAAATACTGACCATTGATGTTTATAGTTAACGAGAGTAACAAAAATTCACAAAATCATTATTGTCAATGTGTTTTGTTTATTTGATAGTTTAATTTTTTTTTAGATTTCTGAGGAAGTGAATAAATTGCTAGATCTTAAGGCGCAACTTAGTGAGAAAGATGGTGGACCGCAGTCGGAGAATGTTAACCAGAAATTCACACTTAAAACACCAAAGGGCACAAGAGATTATTCTCCTGAGCAAATGGCATTACGTCTCTCTGTGTTGAATAAGATAGTGACAGTTTTTAAGAGACATGGCGCAGAAACCATAGACACTCCAGTTTTTGAATTAAAGGTGAGTTAGGAATTTATATTTATTTAATTATGGATACGCTAGTCTTTAATTTTTCAAAATGACTAATAAGTCAGAATAATATGTGGATAAAAAATATTTTTTTCTATTAAAACCATTTACATAGTCACAGTTGTACAGTATAATGCCAAAGTAAAGATGTTTTTAGCCACGTACGTACCTTTTACATGCATTTTTTTTTAAGTACTAAATAATATAAGATAAAAAATAATTGAATTCAAATAAGCTAAGAAGGTAGAATATACAGGGGGTCCTTGGAGTTATAACAGATTTTTGGAATAACCCAGGGTAGTATGGTATAAATAAAGTTTAGCTGACTATTGAAGTACATGTTCTCAGTATATCTTGCATTAAAATAAAACTAAAAATTACAGAAATATCTACCATTGTTTTTTATTGCATTTTGAAATATTTTTCTTATGACCTTTGTGAAGATATGGAACTGTTCACATTTCATATACAGTGTGTTAAAAAAGTATGCTGGCAAACTTTAAGAAACCATTCCTTCGTGATTTTAAGACGAAAAATTCATATAAACATAGGTCCAAAAATGTATATTTTTCAAGATACAGGGTGTTAAAATTTTTTTAAAAATTTGTTTTTCCTTCTATAACTTTTATGTCACTTTTGATATTTTTATCAAATTTGGTGAACACAAGCTTTATTTTTATTCTTACCAGTGGCGTCCGTACGGGGTTTGAACTGAATATTTTTAAAGAAAAAAATGGCACTTCACTGCTTTTTCTGAAAACAAAAATTATTATTAAAATTCCCATTCAATTTGGAGCAAATTTGGTGCATGAACTTGCTTTCGTACGGCGCACGATTTTCGCTTTAAAAAAAAACATATAAATGTATCTACCACAACCCAAATGTAATTTTGCAATGTTATTTTTTATGTAAAGTCCGCTCTATTTGAAAGTTGGCACGTGTAGTGCTATGACTAGTGCCCATAAAAAGAAATAAGTATAATTTGTAATAATCTAGTGATTCTTTTTTCACAGTCATGTCTTTTTTATTTCTCGTACTTGTTTTGCCATGACACTTATGATTTCCAATTAGCATTCACGCGGTCCTTTTTAGCTTTTTTTTTATTAATTAAAACTTGCTACTACATCAACATTTTTAAATGTACTTTTTTAAAAAATTAAACTAGCAATTTAATAGTAAATTTTAAGGAACAAACTGCAATTTAATCGACAATTTACTAGTCAAAAAAACCTAAAGTGCCAAAATGGGCTTTGCTAAGCGACGTTAATAAATTTGTTTATAACAATAACATGACAGTTGTCAAATTTCTAAATAAAATTGCACTTGGTTTGTTTGTTGGTGGTTTTTAAAAGTTTATTTAACAAATTATAACAAATTAAAAGTTTATTTAAAAATTATTCGTTGGTTTTGGTGAAAATGGTTCAATTCACAAACCGTGAAATGGCAGATATGCATTTCGTGTATGGCATGGTTCATGGTTATGCTCGCGCTGCAAGACGGATGTATCAAAAAAGATATCCTAACCGTCCGCTACCTAACAGACAACTTTTTGTTAATATTCACTCCGGACTTGGTGAAACGGGTAGTTTTAGGAGGTGTACTGCTCTTATGGGGAGACCAAGAACAGTAAGAAAGGTTCAGATAGAGGAAGCTGTCACAAGTGCTATTGAAGATAACCCAGAAACTAGGACGAGAAAAATTGCAACCGAATTAAATGTTACCCATGTATTAGTATGGCAAATTTTAAAATCTTTACCTTTATCATATGCAAGGAGTCCAAGCTCTTTTGCCAAAGTTTTTTCCGCTAAGAGTGGCTTCGTGTAGATATATACAAAATAAGTTAGTGCAAAATCCAAGGTTTCTATCACAAATGATGTTTATCGACGAGGCATGTTTTCCCGTAACTCAGTAATAAACTTCCATAACAATCATATAATAATCCTCGCGCCGTAATTGAAAACCATTTTCAAGAGCAATTTTCGGTAAATGTTTGGATTGGAGTTATAGGGGATTGAACTGAGGTGGTTTTTACTTGATGAAAATCCATTTATCAAAAAAAATAAGAACTAAAAGTTCGGATTTTCACGAAATTATATATTTTGACATGACAATTGTTTCGACAACACCGTGTCTTTATCAAATGTAATATTTACAAACTACCTGCTACTATATATACCGAAAAATGACCATAAAACCTTAATTAATGTTGTGAAAATTTAAGTTCAATAAAGGAGAGGTATTTAAATATAATTGATCGTTAAGCAATACATTTGAATGTCTCATTTTGTTAATCTCCATGGCTTCCAATAAATTTAATTTTCTACTTTTTGTGGCTGTATGTAAAATATCAAAATTGTCGTCAAAAATGTGTTTTTTTGTGTTTAAGTGTGTAGCATAATTAGAATCTAGACTATTGTTTTTAAACGCTCTTTTTTGTTCGTTGATGCGTTTCTTGAGGGATTTACCTGTCTGTCCAATATAAATTTTAGGACAAGATCCGCATTTCAACTTGTAGACACCTGATTTTTGGGATTTTGGACATTTCGTTTTATTGTTTTTTAAATGTTTTCCTAACAACACGCTAAAGCGAAAACGTTCTATGTAGTTTAGGCATGATGGAGCTCCACCGCACTTCAGTTAAGTAGCACGTCGGTATTTATATGAAAATTATACTGATCGATGGATTGAGTGTTCTGGCCACATTTTTGGCCACCCAGGTAACCTGATTTAAATCCAATAGATTTCTTTCTCTGGGGACACTTAAAAACATTAGTGTACACAAATCAGTCCAAAGTAAGGAAGATCTAAGGAATCGGAAAGAAGACACAGCAGTTGCTCTAATTAATTTTTTTCTGGGAGAGTATTGCTTGTAAAGATAGTTATCTTTTGTTTACTATTATGTAATAATAAACGTCTTCCTGTTAGTAGTTAATTTTTTGTATTTATTTATTTTTTTTTATTGTGAAGCACGAAAGCAAGTTACACCAAATTTGCTCCAAATTGCATGGGGATTTGAAAAATCTTTTTTGTTTTCAGAAAAAGCAGAGGCGTGCAATTTTTTTCTTTAAAAATATTCAGTCCCAACCCCGTACGAATGCCACTGGTAAAACTACAAATAAGGCTTTTGTGTCAAAAACCGCCTCTCAATAATTAAAAGATGATGAAAATTTGATAAAAATATCGAAAGTGATATAAAAGTTATAAAAAGAAAAACAAATTTTTTAGAAAATTTTACACCCTGAATCTTGAAAAATATGCATTTTTGGATCTATGTTTATATGAAGTTTTCGCCTTAAAGCCACATAAAGAATCGTTTCCTAAAGTTTGGCAGAGTACTTTTTTAACACCCTGTATATGAAGTGTGAACAGTTTCATTTGACTAGTTCATATCTTCACCTGACACAAAAGTCATTTGGTTTGGTATTTGAAAATATTTCAAAATGCAATAAAAAACGGAAGATATTTCTGTAATTTTTAGTTTTATTTTAATGCAAGATATACTGAGAACATGTACTTCAATAGTCAGCTAAATTTTATTTATGCCATACTACCCTGGGTTTTTCCAAAAATCTGTTATAACCCCAACGACCCCAAACAAATCTTACATCTTTTTTTTCGGACGCCAAAAATGTCAACCAATCAAAAATATATCTTGTGTTTACGACTTGCAGAATACATAAATTAAAATGCTAACTTTATAATATATTCTATTCAATTGGATTATCCTCTAGCGTAAAAATCAATATTATAATTATGAGGATATGCGACTAGCATAAATTGGTATTCTAGTTTGTTAAATCTCCATATTTTCAGTATCATTATCTGCTGCCAGGGCCATTGAATGCTGGTAACAGACTGAATATCAAGTGTCAACTAATGATTCGATTTTATTAAATCAGATTTATATTTGCATGTAATAGGTAAATAGCTGTAACACTTTCCTTTCTTCCCTTTGACTAGCCGCAATCTTCTTATATCAGTCTTGGTTTAAATTAATTTACAAGTCGCGCACTTGTTTTTGTCATTATAGAATCAAAAAATGGTAAAATGTTATGGTTATTTGAATTGTGACATGAAATTTGTCATTTTTAAAGCTCGTTTTGACAGCAATTGTGACGTTGTTGCATCAATTAATTATGAAATATAACATGACATAAGAAATCGTAATGACAACTGAGAAATAATTAAGAAATAGTATAGTATATTATGGAATATAATGATAAACGCCAATTCAGTCACGAGCTAACGATTGGTCAGACAATTACGATGTTGTGGGATTAACTACGCGGTCGGTTGATGCTATGTTTTGGTTTTGTTTAATTTAATTAACCAAATTTTTATTTAACTTGTTCATATTTACAATTAAAACATATTATTTCTTATTAAAAGTATAATCACATATTGCAATTGAAATTTCTTAAGGTCAATAATAAAAAATCAAAAATAGAAGGACAATCTAACAGAAAAAATAATTAATTAATTAATATTTCAATTTAATTATATCTATTAATATGAACCGGTACGCCCTAAGCCATTGCTTTTATTTTTAAATTCCAATAAAATATCAGCCAGTTGAGTCAACCTTTCTATTATTATTAATGTTACCAAGACATGTTACTTGTACCTAGAAATAGGGACATTAATCCGCCTGACCGAAATGTAATAACAATTATGAATTGGGAGAATATATTAGTTATTATTTGCTGCCCATTCAAAATAAAATGAATTTTTGTACATTTTTTCGCTATTAAATCCTCTTGTAAAAATAAATCTAAAAATTCTAATATTACCGTCACACTACATTTTGCATTTCCAAGATCGTTTTTTATTGTTGCAAATTCTTTTATTTTATATTTCCTTTATAGAGTTAATTCAAGCTAATTCTGGGGAAATTCATTTTGAATCTTATAACCTGTAAAAATAGAATAAATGTGCTAAGCAGGAACTACTAAAATCAAAGGACTTAGTCTTTGAAAAATATTTCTTAGCCCATCTCTGATAATTTAATTATTTTAGCTTTACCGCATTGTGCACCTAAATACACAACTATTATTGCAATAATGGACGTTGTATTTTTAATGGTTTCGAAATTACTCACAACGATCCCACGGAAAAAGTGGCCACGCTGTGTAATATTTACTTCTAGTAACTTTTGTAACGTTCCTGTTGTAGTATTCTAAAAAATTGCACTTCCAGACTGAGCGCTTTTTTTCTATCCGTCAATTAATTTTAATGTTTTTTAGTCACGTTGTTAGTTAATATTAAATTATTATTTAATATTTATCCCCATAAAACAAAAATAAATTAGTGTTGCTTTTTAAAATTGGAAAGCAATAGTTACTTTTATTGGGCATCTCAAAACGGTTTGCAAGTAACAAGAATTTCATGCGGCTATACGCTTTCACTTTATTTGCAATAGTTTTCACAACGTAAGGTTTAAATAATGTTTTTTTTTTGTTTTTTCGTTTTTCTATAGTGTTACTGCAATATAGTGGCAGACCAGCTTCTTCCATCTTTCCGCATTTTGTTCATGTTTCCAATAACGTTACGGAGAGTACGGAATAACATATAACACGCAATACCTCATATACGCCTATATCTTTTTAGGCCAATTTATCAAAAAACATTATTTTGTTTTCCCATATTTGTTGCCCGCGTCGCACATTCCTTTTGGTGTTTTGGATTTCCAGTTACGAGAAGAAATTTTAAATAATACAAGTTATTTGAGAAGCAAATATTTTTATTGGAAAATGTTGACAAAAATTTCGTTATAAATTCACTTTATATTATTTCCAATTAAAATAATTTTAAAATTTGTGTACTATATTTTAATCTTGTGTATAGTCAGCAAGGAGGTTGTTTATAATAAAGTGTTGGGGTTTAATAATTTTTTATTTGTTGAAGGCATATTATTATATTATTGCATATATGACAACAAAAAATACATATTTTGTTATTTATTTACTTATTATTTAAAAAAAGTAGTGTTAATTGCATGAAGTATGTAAGATAATAACAGAAAGTCCGGTGATTTATTATTAATCGTTATTCTAAAACAGTTTGGTGGTGAAGAATCAATTAGGAGACACATTATTTTTTCATAGCAACTTTTTTGTGGAAAAACTATTAATTTCATGCATCCTTTTCAGGAGGTGTTGACTGGTAAATACGGCGAAGATTCAAAATTAATCTACGATTTAAAAGACCAGGGAGGCGAAATATTATCTCTGCGCTATGATTTAACAGTTCCTTTTGCCAGATATTTAGCTATGAATAAGATTACAAATGTTAAACGTTACCACATAGCCAAAGTTTACAGACGTGATAATCCATCGATGTCGAGAGGAAGATACAGGGAATTCTACCAGTGCGTAAGTATTTTTAAATGTCAATAGTGAATTTCAGTAATTCATTGGTTTTTAAATGCATTTTGAAGTCCTAGTTTTTTGTTAAATGTAATAAAAATACAAAAATGCAGATCACATGTAAGGTTAATAGTAATCATTACTGCAACAGAGGTCAAGGCTGTTATTTGTACCAAGTACCCAAATCAATTAGAGAAATTTTTACCGCGCGTGGGTGCATTTGAATTATCATTATAGGATTTCGATATAGCGGGCGCTTATGATCCGATGATACCAGATGCCGAATGTATTAGGATCGTTTGCGAAATTATGCAGGTATTAGACATTACCCGTTTCGTGGTCAAAATAAATCACAGACTTTTGTTGGACGGAATGTTTGAGGCCTGCGGCGTGCCCAAGGCCAGTTTCAGATGCATATGTTCAGCTGTTGATAAATTGGATAAGGTAAAGGTCTTTTTTGTTCGTAATGAATGTAAGCGGGACAGCAACGTGCATTGTTTTAGTCGCCTTGGGCGGAAATCAAGAAAGAAATGGTGGAAGAAAAAGGTTTACCAGAAGACGTGGCGGATAAAATTGGGGAATATGTTAAATTGAACGGGGGAGGGGATTTAGTAGATAAATTGTTACGGGACGACAAATTGTCGAAAAACAAATCAGCGGTTGAAGGCTTGGAAGCGATAAAACTCCTTCTGAAGTATTGTGACATATTTGGAGTTTCTGAGCGGGTTCTGTTCGATTTGAGTTTAGCTAGAGGTTTAGATTACTACACTGGGATTATATATGAAGCGGTGCTTCTAGAAGGTTAGTATATGGTTTTCAATTAACTCACTGGACATAAACGGGGCAAAAAGGGTTAGTCTCCATTGGCTCTTTGTTTTGGTTCGAAGATGCAACGTTTATTATTCTTTACAAAAGAAAGTGACTCCTGCTACTTTTGTTACCAACACTACACTTTATCGATTCTCGAGTCTTATCAAATTACTAATACATATTCTATGAACAATAACTTCACAGTTCCGTTTCATTAGCGGCATTCGCTGGTGCTAAATTTCACAGTTTTCCAAAATCAAAATCATTACATTTGCTTCGTTTCCAAAAACAAATTTTGTTTTTGTTCGCATTATCAATGTCTGCTGCCCGTAGGGCTAGGAAGGGTAGTGACAGACAGGAAAAGAGAAATGCAATGTGACGAATGGAGTTTAGTGTTACTTTTTACCTTGATTATGTTTAGCGGTAGTAGAAAATGTTATTATTAATGTATATTAAATTATTGCAGAAAATACAGACAATAAAGGAGACAATGATGTTTCTGTGGGTTCAGTTGCGGGCGGTGGTAGATATGATAACTTGGTCGGCATGTTCGATGTTAAAAATAAACAGGTCCCTTGTGTCGGTGTTTCCGTAGGCATAGAACGATTGTTCGCTGTTTTGGAAGGAAAACTTTTGGCATCTAATAGAAAATTTCGAACGACCGATGTAGATGTGTATATAGCGACAGCGCAAAAGAATCTGGCTGAGGAGCGCTTAAAGATATGTAAAGAACTGTGGGACGAAGAATTTAAGGTTTGTGTTGCGAATCAATACGTTCTTGAATTGTTTGATAAAATTCCATTCTATAGGTGGAATTTTCATATAAAAAAAATCCGAAATTACTGGCCCAGTTGCAATATTGTGAGGAAAGGAGTATACCGTTTGCGGTAATATTGGGCGAATCAGAAATTCAAAAAGGAGTTGTTAAGCTCCGAAATGTGTCCACAAGGGAAGAAATTGAAGTGAAACGGGGCTCTTTGACTGACGAATTGAGACGGCGGTTAGGTGAGCTCTGTTTAAATGGCACAGTACCAATGTAGTATTAACTAATGGAATTGGAATATTTTTTATGTTGTGTTATTTACATCTAATTTGTTTAAATAAAGTAATTTATTTATTATTCTTAATTTTTGATATTTAGTTATATTTATAAGCAACTTATTTTTATTGTGTTTCACAAACACTTAAACCGACATTACATATAATATATAAATTACAACCCATAAAATTGATTGTGTATTATCTTTGCTGCTATTAAACAGATCTATGTCACATTTTGGGTGGGATATTATTTAATTTATCAGCACTCCTTATATTACATATTATTAATCACATCAAAAATATTATTAAATTTCAACTTAAAAATATGTTGCAGCAAAAAATATTTATACCTTGTCACAAATAATATAAGCAAGAGATAAATAAGAGTGGAAGTGTAGGGTTGGACTTAGCATCGAGGCCCGAAGCAAAACAAGCAGTTATATAATTTCTCATATATTTTATTAGTCTAAATAAATAAACAATGTAAAATTTAATAAAATTATAACTACACTCTGAAAATTGAGTAATTACACACACATTATTCTAGATTATCAAATGTAAGAAGTTGCTTCATTAAAATAATTCGAACACTGTATCTGAAATGGAGCATATGTACTTAAATGTAACGAAATGAGCGGTTTTACCGATACAACAAATTGTATCCGGATGGACTTAATGATTTCTAAAAATGTTTACAAGAAATACGGCAGTGTTTAAAAACGACTCTTCCAAAGCTCGTGCTATAGCAATATAACATTGGACACATTTTGAGCACACCTTTATGCTACTCTCTTTTGTTAATTAAAATGATAAGTGATATATTTAAGTATAAAATGTAAGGTGATGTTCCCAATCAAATTTTATTTGTGCATGGTTTTGAAATTCAAGAAATAAAAAATAAATTACGCATTGCATAATTTATATCACTTATATTTTAAATCGTTCCCATTTTCTTCTTAAAGGTAACATGTATTAATTGTATTTAAGATGGTACATATATACTAAGTATTTAGGATGCAATGAGTTTTTGGTATTATATATATAAGTACATTTTTATGGGCGATTTAAGTGAAAACCAAGTTATTGACAATTGAATATATACAAATATATCTTATTCTATACTATAACATTGTTAGTTTTTAATCTTAATTTTTGACAACACACATATAGAGACATTTTTCACAATAAGTGTTAGTAATCAATGAGCCACGTTTTCATTGTTACTATAAAAAGCTTAAAATTATTTTACGATTCTTTCAACATGATCACTTATATGTATCTACAATAATTGTGGAATTTTCGCCAAGTAAGTCTCGAACAATATAATCATCACAAAATAAAAACAAATCATTAATTCAGTTTCAATAAGTTGTCAGTTACCTAACTGCGGAATTTTGTTAAAATGTATTTCATTTTGATCCCTCCCAGTCAAATTTATTTCCAAAATATTGATTATACAATACCACATTTTTATTGCGATTGATCCACCAACCGTTTGAAATCAAATTTTGCATAAAATACTTGCTTCTAAAATTATCCCAATACAAGTCCGGTAATAAATTTGTATTACCGCTAATAATTAAGTGAATTAAGGTAATAAGATGTCCAAAATGCTGCAGTAATATGGTACGTTTTAATCTGCTGATGTGGGCAAGTTGAAAATATGATGAAAATAATGAGGTCAATGAAGTACACATACAATCCCTATCACAAGATCTTTAAACAGAGCTTGCACTAATACTTTCGTATTAGAACCGGCAAAAGCAATCAAGTAACCTATCAAAAAAAACGCACACAACTGCTTTTACCAGAATTTAAAGGCGTTACCACCACCATAGAAATTTGATTTTGCCTTGCTTTGTTCATATTGAGCATATTATATTATTTGCAAAAGGGACTTAAAACATTTTGTTTCCAAAACCCACAAGCCGTTTAAATAATACTGGTGACAGAAGCAGCAACCAATTCACTTTTTGGTAATAAAATTAATTATATACACGCAGAAATAACTCTTCACATTTCATTCACATGTTCAGTAACATGGTAATATTTTATTGGTTGTTGTGGAAAGCTGTATTTGAGAAGTACGACTCCATCCAGAATTTCCATTTCCAGAAAGTTCAAGATGCTGTGTTTGAATTTGAAACAATAAATGCGCATACATATTAGAAATATTCGCTGTAACGTCTGAGGCGATTTACTTAAAATTGTTAATTCATCGAAAATGACATAAGAGGGGATGATATTGCGAAATGTAAAACTGTTTTAGAATTAAATATGTAATAGCTGACTAGTTAGTTTCAGTCTTTTGTTTAAAAAACACCATTTGCAAAAATATATGTGGATATTTTGTTTTGGCCGCACCTCAAGTCAAAACAAGAAACGGAGACAAATTAACAATTTTCTATTCTAAATATTTTTTAAGGGGTCCATGGTATAAAAATAACAAAAATAAATAAATATTTAAAGGAAACAAATCAACATAAACTTAAAACTTCTGCTTTATGTACATGAGCAAAAATATCAGACTTACCAATTAACCATGTATTTACATAATTTTTGCTACACAAGATAAAAATTAACGTACTTATTGTTTAAAGATTATCACAAAACAGGGTAAATACAACGAATTCAATATGCCAGCAATCTTATAATCTATACAAATTTCGTTAATAGGTTGTTTTACGTTTTAAATTCGATTTTGGCCACGATATCGACGAAATTTGTTGAATGTTACAACCTCACCTCTGCTCTCTTAAGGATAGAAACTTGTTCGCAAACCCGAGATCAGCCAATTTTGATATCCGTAAACGTTCACATCCTGTATTAACACATCCAGGGAACTTATTCTAACCTCGCTTTGTAACTGGTTTTCCAAATCTCTGCCAAAGTTACGGCTGAGTGGAACCTGTGGAAGATGCACAGCGGCAATGTTATGCGCTGAACTATGGCCCAAGCCAGGAATCCATAGAAATCTTTCTGCACGGGATTCGCTTCGACCTTTTGTGTTTCGAAAGTGTAAATTATCCACATCGTCAAATTGCAGATAAGAAGAAATGTGACGACCTGTCGCCCTGGCTTGGTTCGGTCGTGTTCAGGAAGATGTACCCGGCGACGAGAAACGTCTGCTATGAATAACAGTTGTAAGATGACCTGGAAATATTTAAATTTTTATTATGATCCCGTAAATTCTCTTCCGCTTTTGACAAAGTGTGCCGGTTCAAAAAATTTAGGGAACCTACCTGAACGACTGAGAGAATTCCGGTTATCATAACCAGTAGGTTCGGTTCTTTTGTAAATGCGTTCAAATGGCCAGCGATGACGCTGAAGACGGCATATGTAAATAAACCAAAGGCTGAGACGCGTAAAAGAATATCGTTCAAATCGCTTTGCTCCTCCGTCTTGAACTTCAGCCCCTGGACCCTGGACAATATTAATAAACAACCGTTAGAAGAACTAGAAACTGTTTGAAGCATTGACTAAAACTTACCGTATAAACCCAATAATAATTGCCAAAATGCTGAGCACCATTAGAACACAATGAGAAACATCGGCCAGATAAATCGCCAGAAGTCCCAGTTCGGGGTTACGAATCAACACGAAAAACAGGATCAGGCAAATTAAAGAACCAACGAGCATAAGCAAGCCAAAGAATAGTCCTTTTGATGCGCCGACACAATCCACCCGGCCCTGTTGAGCTTGAGCCATGGCCACGGCCCTGCGCGAAAGCATGATTTCCAGTCTGTGCTCCAGGTCTTCCTGTGTCACGAACCTTTAAAATGTATAAACTTTTGTAAAAAATAGGAGACGCCAAGTAAATATGAATTTTCAATATAAAAAAGATATAAATTTTCGAAAAGGTGCATTTTTGAAAAACCTCTTGCTGCTGGTGTGGATGGGAATCAATGAATAATGCCCTTACATTGAAAACAGTCAACAAGGAATATCTCAAAGTTATACAGCCAATAGAACGTAATTTTGAATTTCAAAATGCACATTGAGGACGTTGCTTTTGAATTTAATTGAATGTGACCCTAATTCATTTAAATAGGTCGTTTTCAAATTGTGTAAGAAACCAATTTGTTCAAGGTTACTGTGGAATTTATGTCAATTTTTCAATTACTGTCTGGTTACTCTTGTCAGAGGAGAGTGGTGACCGTAATATCTGGACTAGGATAAACGTCAAATCATCTAATTAATATCATTTCGAATATAGAACATGTAGAACTCCGGGTCAAGGCCCAATATCATTATAACATACTTTTAGGTAATAAATTAATTGTCCTAAAATCCTGACAGCTTTTAACTAGATTAAATGAAATTTAATTATCTCATTCAATTTATGGTTACTCATTGTTTAGATACTTTGAAATTACCAACATTTTCATAACTACTGACCTCGATATTGCATGATTTTTATCTACATTACTTAATTTACGAAAATGGCAATGCGTGTCATTTTAAAACAAAATTCCACCTAATATACAGGGTGTTAAAAAATATCCACTAATTTCTTAAGTACATAAAACATGAAAAAAAAAATGGTAGTGCTCCCAACAGAAGATATATATGACCGTAAAAAGGGGCTTCAAAAAAATTGTTTTTTTTTTAAATGAATTTTGAAACGATTTAAAATGAAACTAAATTTAGACCACATATACATATACCTTTGATTAAGTGATAAAATTTACAGATGAAAAAATTAAGTTCAAAAATTAACAATTTTATCTAATAGTAACTAAATCCAAAAAAAATCTTTTTAAGATGAAAAACTGTTTGAAAAAAGATTATTTCAGCTCAAAAGATGTAATATCCCCCAAAAAAAGCTTGGGATAAAATTAAATGGCACCCCCACTTTAGCGACGCTGGTCTAAATTTCATTAAGGTATTTTAAGCCGTTTCAGAAATAATTTGGGGCCTCTTTTACCTTCTGAAAGAGGCGTCTTCGGGCGGGTGTTTTTTAACCAAAGTAGCGTAATTTTTGAATATTTTATCTACCCTATAAAATAGCGTATCGTTTTTTGAAACACCACGTATACACGTATATTTTTCAAAATGTTTTAAATTGACGAAATGCGAAAAAATTTTTCTGTAATACGTATTATATATTGAATATTGTAATATCCCCAAATAAAATTCGAATTTGAATCATATTTTTGTAAGAATGTAACATGGTATTCCTTAATGTTTGTTCTCGAAATGAAAGTTACCTTGGATTTCTTCCAATGTGTTTCCACATCACGTAAATTACAGCCGCGCCGATGAGCGAGTATTCAATAATGAAAGGAAACAAGTAAGGAGCGGAATCCTGAACGATGGTTCCCATAATATTTATCCTGCCACAGCTATCATTAGAGAGGGACTGATTGAAGTACTTTATTAAGGCTTGAGGCATAATATTGTCTAATATCTCCGAATTGTTATTGACCAGCATGGATGATTGATGACTCAAATCATTCGATAACAGTTCCGGCTCTTCTGCGACTAAAAAATAACAAAATATTAGTTAATAATAAGGTATCTATATTCTACTAAAATACACGCGTACCCTAAAAAATTTGGAGGACTAAAACTAAATAAAATCAACCCAGTAGCAAGCCAAATAATATGAACAAGTGAAGTTAGTAAGCCCATTCCACACGTACCACTGGCAACATCATTAGACATAAAGCTATCGAAACTTCCAAAGTCGAAGAAATGCTTCAATGTAGCATGGGTGGTGGGTGCGTGAGTCCTCGGTGTAGTGGGGGTAGTGGCGGGAAACGTGGTAGTGCTCGCAGTCGTAAAAGCTCTCCACATCTTTGACGCGGTTGTTCTCATACCCATCATGAATGGGAATAGGGTCGTGGTAGTCGTAGTAGTTGTGGGTGGTGCCACGGTTGTCCGAATCCGAAACATTGCCGTGGGTATGGTTTTCACGGTGGTGAACACATCTTTTTTGTTAGTGGGGTACGAAATTGGTTAGTATGGCGGGTTTGATGATATTAAATGAATCTACTTAATTACATGTTGCACTAATTTTACTAATGAACATTATAAATACTGGTTCTAAGGAAGTAATCGGTGATTCAATAAGAGTTTCCTGCGCATTTTGGTGCGAAGGAATAATTGGCCCCTTTTTTTTCGAGGATAATGCGGAGAACACTGTTATCGAAACATGATATCTGTTTTTTTCTGGGAGCAGTTGGAAGGTTGAACATTGAAGATTTGTGGTTCCAACACAATGGAGCCACTTGTCACACATCCAGAGAAAAGATGCAATTGCTGCCGGGCAAGTTTCCTGGTCTCACGGAACGGCGATATCAATTGGCCGACGCGATCATGTGATCTTACTCGCCTAGATTTTTTTTTAGGGGTATCTAAAAAGCAGAGTGTATAGAAATAAACCAAACACTATTCCAGAGCTGAAACAGGACATTAAGCGCTTAATAGCCGGCATAGAACCTGAATTGTGTCAAAAAGTGATAGGAAATTTCAATAAACGAATTACGTCATGCCACATGAGTGGCGGGGGTCATTTGAATGAAATCATCTTTCATACCTAATTGTAATACACTAATCTAAAATGGCAAATAAAAATGTTTGTATATTTTTATATTCTTCCGAGTTTTTTGTATTATTTTAATGTGGAAACCCTTATTGAATCACCCTTTATATAGGCATACCATTTTTCAATCAAATCTGCATAATAGAAAAACACTAACTGTTGCGAAATATATTATTTAAAGAAGCGCTAAATTAAAATATTTAGTTGGTAACTAGCGAATCTATCATTGCCGAGCCAAACTGGTTTATTGATTACGAGGAAACGAGGACAGCGTAAGCCCAAGAAAAAATTGTTTTGGTTAGTATTGGCTCCTGTTTTATTGGCTTTCTTATAAACTGATTTGATCTAAGATAAACTAGTTGAACTGAAGAACTCACTTTTGACTATTTATGAATTATTCATTTGAACTAACGAAATATTTGAGGCATCTTCTCACACAGATCTAATTAGAAAGGTTAAACCATCCATGAAATGAGAAGAAACATTAGTTGTTTTGGTTAGTCTTGTGTTTTAAAATTAATTTTTTGGGAAAGCCGTTATTTTTAACACTTATATAGACATATATAGAAGAAATCTTTTTATTTATTAAGCTGCATGTACACCGCGCTAGAAACCATATCAGAAACTCGATTTCGTGTTTTCTGTTTGATAAAGATTGCTTGGGTCGAACAAGGTTTTGTTTTAGTAGTGTAACGTTAGTTACATTAGTAATACTAACTAGCAACATGTATGGGTACGAAGCTGGATAAGCAGCCGGGAAAAATTTGGTGTTTCCCATCAAATTTGTTACGAACTAAGTAACGAAGATTATTGATGTTTGTCAAAAGCAGTGCATTATTCAAACCCCTTTGTACTACGGAGAGTTTCATTACTACATTTCTCCATTTTTACAAGTTTTATTCGAGACTTTTTCGTTCGTGATTTCTTGCACCGTATACACTAAACATAATGGATGTGTATAAAATTCTCGAAGATAAAGTGCAGGGTGGCCCGTTTAAGAGGGGCCTATACCTTATCTCAAAACCTATGGGGGTTACAAATTTTTTTTTTTTTTTTTAATTTTATTAATTGTCACTTTTTTATATACAGGATGATAAAACAAAGTTACATTTTTTTAAACAGAACATCCTACATTTTATTGCATTTTTAGATAGTCCTTTTAAAGACAAATTCAACGATACATATGAGTATGGGTCTGTGATGTACCGTTTCGAACTTATTAGTGATCATCTTCAGAATTCGGGTTATGTTTAAACCATCATTGTTGGGTGGCTTATTTTTTCCATCTACTGTTTCTACGAAAATAATGCTTTTCTTTAGGCAATGATCAAATTTAAAATATTTTCTTAATATACGCGGCGTTGGCACGTTTCCCGAAATAACACTTTTCTCAATTTTCTTAAATGTACACCTTTATGTATGTATATTATTGGATTTTCAAATAGCAACTTTAATAGCAATTTGAATTATATAACATGATACGAGCCTCTGACTTGCCGTTTTGGCTTAATTGGCAATTATTTTTCAAAAAGATATAAATTCTTTTACATTGATAATTTAAGAAACTTTTATCGCAGTAGCTTTGAAAACCATAGTAGTTCTCTGCTGTGGTAATATTACTTGTTTTTGGCAGATATTAGTGTATTATAATGTTTTAAGCGTATTTTTTCGGACTTATACTATTTTCTCTTCATTTTATTAAGTTGTATTTTTGTTGAGTATAATGTATACGAACGAGGAAAAAGTTGACCTATTAGAATGTTACATCGGCAATAACAAAAGTGCGACTCTTGCTCTCAGACAATATAGAGCAAAATTTCTCCATAGGCGATTGCCAGGGAAAAAATATTTGCCAAAATATACCAGCGGTTTCGAACAAATGGCAGTATTTTAGTCAAAACAAATTGGAGCCGAACCGTTTTGGATGAAAATATGCAGCTAGATATTCTTCTGCATTTTGAGAATATGTACTCCAGAGACCTCCACTCGCTTTATCGCTTCAGATGTAGACGTAAGACTAACCACACTACAAACATGTTTAAAAATTGACAGTTATAAGCCATTTAAATTCACTAGTACAAAAACTACAAGAAGCAGATTTTAACTTAAGACTGGAATTTTGGATAAGCATTTTTGAGATAACATGTTTCAAAATATAATTTGGACTGATGAATCAATATTTACAATATCGGCGGTGCTATTTAATACAAAAAATAAAATAAAAATAAAAAAATGTTTTGAAGTAAACAAGCAAGGGCGAAAATCGCTAAAAGTATGACGCGCAATCTGGAAATCTAGAATTTTAGGACCCATATATTTAAACTTATTAAGGAACGAAATTCGGCCACTTATACACAATAATATTCCCCAAAGAGAGCATCCAAATTTAATTTGGCAGCAAGATAGCACTCCTTACCATCGAAGTGATGCAATCATTTGCGAAACCATCTCCTGGTCAGCGAGGAGTCCAGATTTGACCCCGATGGACTTTTTTTGTGGGACACATTGAAATATATGGTTTACAAAGATAAACCGTCAACAGTTCTGGAAGTACAACAACGAGCTCGCGCAAGACAGTATCTGAATGAGACGAATTACGTCTCAAATGCCACATACCATTTAGAAATAGCATATACTACTTGTATTCTTCAAAACAGCAGAAAAAGTAATTTAATTAATTTTGCTTGTAAGTAATATGCATTAGTAGTTAGTGTTAATTTTTTGTAATCATTTTACGTATACATTTAAACGTAGAAATAAGTAATTTGCGAAATTTGGCAACATTGTGCAAAACTTAATATTTTGTTTTCAATATGACCTCTTAACAATGCTCTAAAACGGTTGTGAACAAGTTGATACTTATGCCAAAACGATAAGTCAGAGACCCGTAACTATGTTATATAATTGAAATTGCTATTATAGTGGCTATAATAATAGATGGAAAAAAGTTTAAAAAGTTAATAAGCAACCCAACAATGATGGTTTAAACATAACCCGAATTCTGAAGATGATAGCTAATAAGTTCGAAACGGTGCATACAGACCCATACTCATATATATCGTTAAATTTGTCCTTGAAAGGATTATCCACAAAAACAATCAAATGTAGGGTGTTCTATGTATTTTGTATTTATATATTTTTTGGTAACCCCCGTATGTTTGGAGATAAGGTATAGGTCTCTCTTAAACACAAAAGTAAAAACCAAAAATAGTTACACCAACCATTAGCAATAATAATACTTACTTCTGGTGGTTGTAGGCGGCAACGTTGTTGTGGTGGTGATGATGTTATTAAATATCGGGTAAGCGTTACGAGCAGTGGTTGTTACGAATTTTTTTACGGAAGCTGGTGTCGATGCTGTCGTGACAGCAGCTAGTAAGCTCGAAGCGGTGGTGCTGGTGGTTATTACATCGGGTTTCGCGACGTGCGTGCCTAGTACAGTGTTAGCGTTTCGTAATGTGTGTTGTCGGATACTTTCTGAAAACGCGAATTTTCGGTAAAAGCTAGGTACATATATGTGGATCACAACACAAAATATATACAACATCCACTTAAATATATACCTGCAAATGGGGCCATTTCTGTAGATGTAGTGTCATTGAGAAGGTAGTGGTGGTAAAGGGTTATTTCTTTTATGTATTCCAATACCAAAGTTCGGATCCATACACAAATGTTCGTAGCAACGACATGCATCAGACCAAATCTGGCAACTACTTTAAACCTGTGAATATTCAGCTGAAACAGTTCAATAAAATTGTGATAATAGATTTCTTGCTGGTTAAACACTTTGCATGAACATGAAATATAGTCAAGTGTTTTATTTACCCGAGAATTCATGAAGATGAAATACATTTGCATAAAGGTGAATATCATTTGGAGTACCGGGTTCACGCCCCTTAAGATCATGTAACATGGAGATGTAAATGGAACCTCGAAAAAGGAACCAAATTCTAGTCCATTGTAGATCATCGTACCCAAACCAAAAGCTGCAACAATATTTCTATATGTTGAAAATAATTGATGTGGAAAAATTAATTGATTATCAGATAAAAATAGGACCAATCAACATTGTATACAGGACAGTCCAGATTATCCGTAGTACTGTGGACCAACGTGATTTGAAATAATGGAAATTTGGTAAATTTTTTGAAGTTTAGGATACATATATCGTTAGATCGACTGAAAGACATTTATAGAAAAAAAACAGAAGATATAATTTATTTAATTTTTATTTCTCAAATTTTTTTTGAACATAGTCTCTATTTATATATTTACATTCATGTTAAATGTAATCATAGAATCTACTTTACTGTCTTAAAAATGAGGTAATTTTTAGCTTTACTCGCTTGACGCTACTTCTTGTTTTTGGCCACAATATCCCTCCTAGGTTTAATAAAAAGAACATCGGCGGGAGTTGCATTTTTTGTTATTCTACAGAAGTCAGCGCTTGCTCCACCAAGGCCTCTAGACCTTCTGAATGTGACATTTTTAACGGAATATTGTCAGTGGCTTCTACTTCGCTATCATCATCGTCATCACTGTTTATTTCAATAGCATTTTTGCAAACACTTTTAATTACTTCTTGGTCAGTCGTTTTCATCTTCGACACTATCCGCTTCCGGAACATTTTCATATCCTGGTATTTTTGTGAAAATTTGCTGTAAACTTTCATCATGGTCGGACTCCAAGAGTTTTCCAGGTTACTACCTTGTATTTGATTCCAAACCATCTATCCAAAACTATCTTCAACGTTTTCCAAGTTATATTACACTTCTTCCAAAATGTACTCCAATAGCAAACGTCTCTATTACGTTGTAAATTGTTCACATATGGGCTGAAAGACAGAAGTTGCAATAGAAGGAGAAAACATAGCTTTTACTTCCCCACTTTCAGGTTGCTCTGCACTTGGATGAGTGGGAGCATTGTCAACAAAAGTAGCAAACCAAAACACGTTTTCTGGGGTATCCGTGCTCTTTTAAAAAACTGTACTTTTGATGAGATTTTCAAAAAACATATTTTTGAATAGATTCGCATTCATCCTTCTTCTTTTTTAATTTTTATACAAGACAGGAAAAGCATTGGGGAATATTCTTGAAGGCTCGCGTTTTTGCTGACTTACATAATAATGGAAGCTTGTGTCACCCAGAAGCATTAGCGTTTGCAAGAACAGTTATATGTTCTTTGCCACGTTTGTAACCAGGTGCTCCAACGTCCATTTTTGCAGCTAAGCAACATTTTCTTTTGATAAGATTCATAAAATTCTCTGCAATTTTTTTTGCGGCAGATGCATCGGCAGACACACTATGTCGTTTTTTCAGGCCGTTCAATAACCAGCAAATCTTTTGCTATATTTTAAAGCAATTCGCATTATCTAATCGTTGAACCGCAAGTTTTTCCTGCAAGCTGATAACGCGTTTACGTTTATTGCTCCGACGCTACATTTTATAAAATAATGCAAAATAAAACTACTCTTTTTGCGATCATAACAGACGTTATTACACACTTGTAACACGCCGTCCCCTAACCAAGACAAATCGCATTTTAGACCGCCGTATCGCCGTGAAACTCCCAGCAGTAAAAATGAATTCTAGAGGCGTTTCGTATAATGCGGATTTCTTCGATCTTCGATTAATCGGAATTTTTATTTTTTAATAGTTTATTTCGGATAAACCGGATTTCGGAAAATCGGGATTGTGCTGTACATAAGATACGAAAAGTTACTCATAAAATGCTCAGCGATGGATAACAGAGGCTCAACTCCGTCTGTATATTGCCACGCAGGTTAAAACTATTATTTTTTATAAAATTTTTATCAAAAGAGGTTAAACAGATATCACTTTTTCTAGAGTGAAAACGTAAACTCAAACAAAATCACCAATACGTCAAGACAACAATATCAGTAATGTCTTGTTGGTCAATGTCAGAATGCTAAATTTATTATTATTAGTTTGAAAAAGTACAAGATTTTCATTAGTGCCTTCATAAATAGCTCAATATTATGATAATAGATTGTTGACTCCCATGTGGGGCACTATACTTTTCAAAATACATAGTAATTTCAATCCAGAAAAAAAGTCAAAACAGCGCTATATGATTTAAAATTAACCTAATTCTGAAGGATTTGGAAAAATCATACCGATAGCACCGATCCTCAAAAAGAAACTCCCGTGGCTGTGATCGTTTTGTGTCGTTTTCCTCTTGCATTTTGATTTCGTGGTGACCTGTTGTGCTTCCCTGGTGGGCGGTACTTGTTGCACTACGACGCCGCTCTCCAGGTCTACGTTGTTCGTAACGGGGTGACCGGCGACGGGTGCCGACGGTGGCAAGACGGGTGGTGGTGGTACTGCGCTTGGTGGCTCTTGCGGCTGCGGCTGCGGCTGCGATCCCTGTGAGACAACAGGGGAAGATTGGTGACGGAGTGCCGCGGATTTGGATAATTCCGCCACAGGCACGGGCACCACGTCCTCGGCGTCGACGACGCCCTCGCTGTTGCGCCGGTACGTGGTGCTCTGCGGGAGTTCAGGAGAATGGAGGTGTACAACGAAAGTAAAATAAAAATAAATAAATAAATAAATAAAATAAAAGAACTAGACGATAAGAGGTTGTGCTGTGCGGAGTAATCGATGGTGACTGGTTCGGACAATCATGGTGTTCTTCTCTACTAGAAACTCTAATCGTAAACAGATCTGCTGTATTTTACTTTGGCACATTTAGAACACATTCTCAAAATGAATAATTAATTGTTAATTTGTCACATTACTATATTGGTATAAACGTGACAAATATATAAATCTTACGTATATGTAGTCGCCATTTTTCCAATCTGTATGTTGCCAGTCGTTTCGCAAATGTCTGTGTTATTGTCGTTAATTTAATTTGAAACAATTTTTAGCGCGCGAAGTTATAGCTTATGTGTGGTGGTAGTGAGAAACCTAAGATTAACGCCACAATAATCACAAATTAGTACTCTCACGTGTCCTAACATATGCCTTTGATAATAGCACATAAATAAGGGAAAAACTACCCAAATTTTTTTTAGTCTTTTTAATTAACCAGTAGACTTAGTACACGCCTGGTGCTGAAAAAGGAAGCTTATCTTGCGTGAAACGTAAAAATAATCTAACAAGAACTCGAAATAAAATCCAGTGTGCCAGTGATTGTGGTGGCTGGGTTCATAAATCATAATCTGTGAGATTTTCCGGGCTGTTAGGACGTGGTCCATTGGTTTTGGTTAGTTTTGGTTAGTACCGATACAGTCGTCGCGCTACAATCTATGCCCCACTGAAGACGGCTGCCGCAATAGCAGCTGAAAGCTTTGTTAGCAAAACCGATGGTCTAACAGGCCGGAAAATCTCACAGATTAGGACGCCGTTCGTGGAAGCCTACACAATTATATTCATAAATAATGTTCGTTACAAACGAGGAATTAATCGCCTATGAACAGGACAGATGAAAAATGGTGCTGTATTGCGTGTCCCATCGGGCCTGTATCTGCTGGTGACACCTGAGTCTAAGATATCTGAGGCATTACCTTTGCCGACAGTCATCGTGGACGTCGCATAGGAAGAGTCTGGGGCCAGTGCAGCTTTTCGAAGATATTCTCGAATATCCCCAAACCAAGCAATAAAGTACCGATGATGGCCGTCAAATATAGGTTTGAGAAGTTAAAAAATTCATGAACATGGCACTATAATGGATCAAATAAAAAGGAAACATTGAAAACCCTTGAAAATATAAATAAAAATAAATAGCAATTATCTTTGAAAAACAGGGTAGTCGGGTTGTGTCGAGTTGAAATACCTACGAAAAGTTCAAATCGTGACACAAAACAAGAGAGGAGTAGATATATTGTTATTATTGGCACCGAAAATATGAGCGAGGATTTTAAAGAACTGTTTGCTGCCCTAAAAGTATATGCTGTGACACCATTAAGAAGCCAGCAAGTTCGAAAGCCAGATCTTGAAGTAGATGTTAATTACGCTTGCCTGGTTGGTGCGTATATTCCCTCTGGTGTTTGTCGTGTTTGTCAACGCCACAGAGACTCACCATAGTCATGAAAACCACCTTTTCTATGTATACATCAAGATGTGTGAGACACAGCAGCTTTGGTTGGTGTGGTTTTCATGGCTTCAGTAATAGTCTTTTGGATCTGGTCTAATTTACGGCTCGTAATTTTCTGTTGTGCCTTGGGTCCCAGGCAATTACACCGTATGTTCGGATGGGTCTTATGACCAGCTGGGCCTCTCAGATAAAATAAGTACTTCCTTTTTGAGTGCTGAAGACTCCTTCGTGCCTGTCTGAGGAGTTAGTGATTTAGAATTTGAGCTTGCTAATACGGAAGAGGTCGAGGAAGCTTTGTATGTCATTAAGTCTGATGTATCCGTATTTTCCACATATTATTCCAATGATTGTCCATATTACAAACTCGTGTATTGACAGCAGAACATTTCTAGATTGTTGGAAAATAGCTCATACCGTTCCTCCTCCCAAAGTTGGTTCTCCAACTGAGTATATTGCCCACACGGATGCAGATGATATAATGGAGGCCACGGACCGTGGTGAACTGACTGCACTCGTTTTTTTAGATTATACAATCGCCTCAATCTTATCTCATCTTAAGTATTAAGTCAATCATACTTAGCAGGAACATCAAAACTGAAAGGTATCTATCTATCTTCCCCCAGCTCCTTTGCCCTGTAGTGTGCTCCAAAGCTTCATACTTTACTATTTGGTTTATACACATCACAATTGACTTCACATCCCAAGCACTCCGGGGTTATCTCTATGCTGGCGCTATGCAATTGTATGTATCACTCAAGCCGACCGATGTGGTCCATGCGGGAGAGAAACTGATCGTCCTGAGAATAGATCACATTTTCAAAGTGTGTTGTGAGTAAAGGTCGGAGAAGGGTTACTGTTACTGCCAAAAAAGAACGCAGAGGAAGACCCCTTGTTTTCTTTTTTTCCTTGATATTGATATATAAGTTGCTTGATACGAAAAAATATAAAATGGAACGGAATCCCATTGGAATCATAAGTATCGCGACATTACTATTAATAACTATGACCATGACAGCAATGGGTACATGTTTCACGAACAACAAACAAGACAATCTGAACCAGTCATTTTCGAAAAAAATAATGTTAGGTGATTAAACAAATGGTCAACAAAAGGAGAAATAGCGGTTGTGCCTGTGAAATTGCCAAAATCTAAATAATAGTCTTAGAGAAAACTATAATACTTCTTCACAAAAAACTAGCACGCATCAGAAAGCGCCTACTTAAAACACCCCTCTTTAAAACAATGTTTGTTTAAAACATCACACCTTACAAAATGTACTCATTCAAAATAGCGCCTAGCGATCCACGCCTGCCCGCAGATGTTGGTATTTTCGAAAAGTAAAATTCGTAATCTTAAATTTCGATCATAGGAAAATGTTAACTGAGATTTTAGTTCTAACTCAAAAAAAATAGCCTTGTAGGTTCACAATTACTCTTTGTTTTATATGATTATGTTTAGCAAGCAGGCCACATTCTAAGTACTGAGGAACAAATAAAGCAAATTCCCAAAAGTTACGAAACAAAAACGGCTTCCTCGACGAAGAATGTGACCTTATTAATTTGACAAATGCATCATTTCCGTTGAAGTTTCTAAGTCGCCTCAAGGCTCAAGAAACGATTATAAATTTAATTTCATTTAATTTCATAATTTTGATAATTTAATAATAAATAATACAATATATTTGTTGTCAATCCAAAAAAATATACTACCATCTTCGATGTTGTTTTAATCGATATGCAATTTAGAAAAAAACGATATTTCCTCTGGCGCTATTTTGACAAGCTCGATTTTGCTAGTATTCATGGTATCTAATACTGCGATCTAAAGCATTCAAGAGTTCTGCTACTCCACCCATTTATCAACAACTCCAAGGAAGTTCCTAATCAATACAAACTTAATCAGCCCTACAGGATTGCGTCAATAATATTTCCGTGATCATGACTTTAGTCTTAAATCTATTTATGGTTATTCACACAATACCGTGCATTAAAAGTCAACTTATAGGTTTATAGTGTATAGTGTATCCCAAAGTAGATCGTGTCATCTTTTGACGGGCCCTACCTCAATAAACCTTTAACGGTTTTATTACTTATTGTTATTGTATAAAACCCATAAACTTTATTATATTATTATATAATGACAAGGCAAACCAGACATAAGAGGTCGACCTAATGTTCTATCCTTTAATGACTAGAGTCCAGAGTTTTAACACTAAAGCTTTAAAATTTTGGTTTTCAATCAACATTGTTTTTATTTATATTAAATTTATAACTTGGTAAAATGTTCTATTGCCAATAAGGATATTATTATGAAACTAATGAATAAACATATTATCGCCATAAAGAATCCATTATTGACGCAACCACTCTCGAAAGTGTGTCATTGGACTATTCTTACTCTTGGACTCGAAGTGTTAAGGTTAAGGAACTTTTAGAAGAAAATATTTACATAAACAGAATAATATTTACATGGTCTCCGATTTAAAATTTAAGGTCATCCAACTGAAAATATTTTTTAATATTATTTCAGGTGCTGCTAACACCAATTCACCAATTCAACATTGTGCATCACTAAACGGTTTGCATGAATAATCATTTAAACGAGAAATATTTTTTACGCTATAATAAAAGTCTACAACGATTTTGAGGAGTGAAAAAACAAAATTAACGCTGACTTTGCTAATATATTACATAAGTCAAAATAAATTTAATTGAACTAACAAACTCAACCAAGATATTAGATTCGTGTCATAGCAATACAATCAGCGATAATTTCTTCTGTTGGGTTTAAGTGTGTGCTCACCTTCGAGTTATTTAATTCCGTCCTGCTTTGCACAACATCACGCATCTTACGTGGAAATTTCTCCCTCTACACGCACAACACAACGCTCAACGATACAAGAAAAACAACGGAAATCAACAAAACAAATCGAAATGTAAAATAAAAACAAAACATAACGGGCGAAAAACAGGAAGAATTAGAAAAAATCCATCCCCCTTTTAATGTTGGATTATCCCAACGCTGTGCGAAGCCAGCGATATTAATTTGTAATGGTAATTTATCTTTTGAAAAAGAGACTTATCGCACTGGGAGCGTGTTAAAAGTCTCCCCCTTAAACCGTCTATACATTGTGGTATGGAATTGATAAATACCTACGCAGGATATCTGGTATGTTTCCATTTTGTGTGCTCGCAATAATGGGATGTTAACTTTTATGTTATTTTATTAAATTTTTGCCGATAAAAATATGAACAAAAAAGGAATAAATGTGTTTTTATTGATGAATAATAATAATTTAAACTTGTTGAATCGATTTTAAGAATTAACATCAAATAGAGAAATGAAATATCCTTCAAATCAGGCATAAGTCGACAACTATCAATAAACTGATGTTCAAGAGTTCAAGTACGTCGATTTTTTTTCTTTTAGGTATCAAGTTATCAGGGGAAATGGAGACTTTTTACTCGCTCGTTCTTTATTATAGAGAAAACTATCCATAGAGAGAAGATTCGATATTGTCTGACTAACATTGCTTTTTCTATCGATTGTGTAATTTTACTAAGCTCCATACTTTCTTTTGCCATCTAGCTATAGATAGTCTTCATCAGCATCCTATAAGATATTAGAATCGTTATCGACTATCATTGATTTAGGATACCAGATAATGTCAATTTTTTAATACGCGATTTAGGCTTTAATGTTGACGATTATTATACCATTAACATCGATAGTTTCTTTGTGCAATTGCATAGTCTGGTATCCATTTCACGGACAAAGGAAGAAGAAAACCAGTCTAGACGACAACAATAAGCGCGAAAAATGTAGCGGTAATAAAAACAGATTACAGTTACACGGTTGATGCCGCATTACAATGGACATTATTGTTTTATGAGCTCGCCTTCATTGACGGCACCGTCAACTGTTGTAATTTGAATTTACCGCGTTCGCCGTCCGATTATTTGTATATTTGCCTGTGTATTTTCGCCCTCTACCCATTTTTATAACATTAAAATAATGCTTGATCTTTAAATGTTTGATGAAGATTAAATAAATATCAGAATTAGAAGAACACCCCTTATGTCATTATGATTTCAGATACCTAGATATTTGTAATATTTTGCGGAATTATGATAAAGAGTACTACGAAATTTGTATTGTATTGTATATATTTGTATTGTAAATTTGTATTGTATTGTCTTTTCGCAACTGCGGTCGGATGTTATCGGTAAATTTTGAGCATGGCATTTTGACGCCTGTCAGATCTGACAGTCATATCATATGTCATCCAGTGAATGTATTAGTGCTGTTTTGTACCCAAAAACTAATAGTCGTTGATAAAATTCCACAGTGACTCCTTTATAAACACCGTGCTAAATCAAATTCGTGACAAAAATGACGTTTATCAAACACGTAATTAAATAAACAGAAAAAAAAACGCGAATCCTTTATTCAATTTTAATAATCTTTCAAAAACGGTTTTCTTTATTATTAATGTGTCAAATAATGAAATCATTTAAATTAGCCGCAAGATATGACGAAAGTTGATTCCAGTAAGTCCACCATGTCTTATTATGCCAAATTATTAGGTATATTATTTTAGCGTATTCTAATGAAACCTGCAAAATTTATGTTGGGCAATTCTCTTGAAAATCTTCATAATCTGAAAAATATGAACATTTCAAAAGTCTTTCGCCTGTCAACAGTAACAGCATAATAGTTATTTAAATTTAAACAAATTGCTGTTGCCAATATGCTTAGCGTAAATTGTTGTTCCATTTCCACAAAATGAAAATTAATTATATGATTTTCAATATATCACCATGATCACCCCGTAAAAATGCATTTTACATGCTAGAACGCATTTCTTTCTCCCTTTGTCAGCGTATACATTAAGTCGTGCAAAATCGTGTAGCGGTTTAATCAAACATCAATTCAACTCACCTTTTCTTGCTTCTTGCTTTTCTTGTCTTTCTCTTTTTCCTTTTCTTTTTCCTTCTGCTTTTTTTGCTTTTCCTCCATTTTCTGCTTTTCCTTCTCCTCCTTCTTCTTCTTCTCCTCTTCTTTCTTCCTCTCTTTTTCTTTCTCTTTCGATTTTTGCTTAGGGGGAGGCTTCACCTTCAGCAAAAAAAGTAACGCAGAGTGAAAGGAATTCGTATTATAGGACGTGGCGGTTACCTTTTTTTCCTTTTCATTTCCAGAACAACATGCGCTTTCTTGAAGCAAGAAGCAGAACACGTAGAGGAGGAAGAGTATACTCATGCCGTATAAGTAAGTGAAGAATCCCTCGTAATAATAAAGGGGAATATTGTGGGTGACTACATCCGATATGACATACGCGACACATACTACAACTAGTAGTTTGGCGTAGACAAAACTCATTATTATAAAGAGTGATGTTCTGCAACAAAAAAAACACGTCATTTGTTTAAACAAAAGAAGAATAAGGACAATTTTTATTTTAAAAATAACATCATCTTTCAAAAATAACCGCCAAGAAATAAAAGTTTTGCAAAGGAATTCTTTTCGCGAAATTTCACAACGATCAACTGGATTTATACGTACTGTGGTTCATTTGATACGCAAAAATACTTCATCAAATTTTCTGGAAACATTTTTTAACAAAATCAAAAATTCGATTCGGTATGTGCGGAAATTGGACCGAAATTGCGAAACCAAGAAAACTACCGGCCGAAATGCAATGAAATACTAATCTAAAAATAATCTACAGTCAGTTTAAGACAGACGAAATCGTTGTAACTATTTCTCTGGATATTGTAAAATGCGTGGCAGTGACTGCTCCCGTTCCTTACTAAATTTATAAGTTGGTCATTAACAATGTGCGGCTTTACTCAGAATTTTTACACCTTTCTGAGATGCGTTTACTGAATTTGAAGAGTATTCACAATGCATTTTATGCCTTACACCTCCCGAAAAACAAAATTGTATAGACTAATTGAATTAAATTACCTGTTACGTAATTTTTCTCAGCAGGTTTTCAAAAAATTTCTATCAACAATATTGAGTGAGCTTGTTTGACCACTCCTTCCTTTTAGTTTTTTTAGTTTAGAGGCTTTCGTTGGAAAGCTTCGTCATTAATAAGTTTCTTGAGAAAATACCCCCTCCTTTGATTAGATATTTAAAACGTACCAGCTTCTAAATTTTTATTTCTGAGTGAATTTCTATAGCGACAATAATGTTATTTCATATCAACCTCAGCAAGAGTGATGTTCCAATCTCATTGTGCGTTCTTAAAGTAAAGGTCACTGTTCTCTTATTAAAACTCGTTTTTATTTAAAATTGAGACATTCAATCGCACTATAATATAAGTGGTATATTTTAAACGAGCGCCATATCTGTTTTATGTCACAAAACCGCACATGGTTAATTAAAAAGCTTAATGTGAAATGCGGTTATAGCTGGGTCCTTTGTCTGGAGAATGTAGTTGATCTGTCCCAAGTTAATGTCATTACGAGTTTTAAACTAGATACGGAATACTTACCTAAAAATAATTATATTTAATAGTTTTACGTTGTGATTTTGTCCAAATGTTAAGACATATTAACTTATTGGCATTATCCATGATTTAGGGACTGACTTTTGTATGGATTTTTTACGAATGTAACCATTTAAAATGAAATAATATAGTTTATAAGCAAAACGTATGGATGTATCGAAGATTTTGGTAAGTCAAAATGATTTTCCAATGTAATATTATACTAATAATAATAATAAGAATAAGCTTTATTGTCTAACAGATATAATATCCAATGACAATAAAAGTAATTCGCTAAGTATAGTTAAGGGTCAAATAAACAACATAGTAAAAACCAACAAAACCAAAAACAACCATATAAAGAACTTTATATTTATATAAACAAAACTCAAAACCGAATCTACAATAATCACCTGAACCGTAAAAATCTTTTAATGCCAAAGTAAACTGAGCCGGTGTTCACTGCAAATACAATTAAAAATGTCCATTGCTTTAAAGAGTGGACCTCTGACCAAGAAGTTTGTGGAGGGAGTTGAAAGGTGGAATATTGGAGATGTTCTCACTGCCTGCGAAGGAACGTAAAAACCGATCTGCGATAACAATTCAGAGCAGTCTATAAGAGATCTACATATTTTAAATAACAATTGAAGTGACGCACAGTTCCTACGATTAATTAATTTCGCATTACTTTAAGAGAACATTATGATCAAAACATCTCTGTGGAAATACACCATCACATTTAAAAGCTAGATATTTTAAAAATTTCCTTGGACCATTTTCTAATTGAATAATATATTTATTGAAAATAAGCTGCCATATAATGACCCAATATTCCAGCTTAGATGTAACGTAACCAACGTAGAGTGCCCTATATACCCGATCGCTCGTAAACTCACCAGCATTCCGAACCATGAATGAATTTTCAACGCACTGTTCCAAGTTTGATTGATATGATTAGCTCAGTGCCAAATAAGACGCCCAAATCTTTGAAGCCATCTATTCGTTTCAATTTTATATTGTCAAGAAAATAATCAAAACCAATGCCACCAACCCTGTTCGAAAAACTAACATAAAAACATTTGTCAATATTCAATGGCAATCGGTTGAGTTTACACCAAGAGTCCTTAATTTAAAGATCCTTGATTACAGATACCTCTAAATATTTTCATATCATCAGCAAATAGTAATAAGTTACTCGATATGCCAGGAATTATATCATTAATAAAAACGGAAAATATGAGGGGGGGCAAGGTTACTCCCTTGCGGGGCCCTGGCGATGAACTCGTACGACTTATGTCCTCTCAGCTCGACGTACTGAACTCTCTCTGTCAAGTACGACTTAAGAATAATACTAGATTTGCATAAAACTCCATCTCCACAAGTATGTGGTGAAAAATGTCATGGTCAACCCTATAGAAAGCTTTCGTGAAGTGAATAAAGTATCCACTTGAAGTCGATTATCTAATGCTAGAGAGGTAAATTGAGTTTGCTTGTAATAACGTAATAATAACTTTTTTGGCACCTACATTTACAAAATATATACAAAACATGATCCGAGTTTATGCCACGAAAATCGCATATAAAAGAAACAATCGACTGTTCGCGTGGTTCGCGGAATGAACAAATAAATTTGGTGTACACTAGAGTTTTGATGGCGAATGATTCTTTTATAAACAAATTCACCATTCATCATCATGGCGTCAGGAAAGTACCAGGTCGAGTTAATGACCTTTTTGTTTTGCGCAAAAGTGTTTCGAATATTTTCGCTTAAGTTGTTGCCAAACCACGTATACCTTTTATCCGCTTTATCCTGCACGAACTTGAGCTCAAGCTCTTTACTACCCGTAGCCTCGGCTACGCTCTTCTCGCTATCTCCGTGGTGATGAGCGCGCGAAACTGGAAGCGTCGCCATGTTGTTTTCGGACTCCACCTCGACGGTCGCTACTTTCATCTCGGAACTTATCATTTTTTCAAAACTACAGTAACGCCGACCCTCCGTGTAACCTAAATCGTTCGGCAAACTACTTCGTTGGTTATGGGTGTTATCATATCGTCTGTCCCAGTTCGTTATTACACAGCTCGTTGTATGCGAATGTGGGTGAGGAATTGATTTTCTCTCGGCGCTTTTCACATAAAAAAACCCGTCGCGTGGCGGTTTCCCTACGAATTATCGCGAAATTGCACTTTCGCGCGAATAACCGACAGTAAAACGGCCGAAAATTTTCCGGAAATTGGGAGTATAAAACGGAGGACGACCGTGTCGAATGGCGGGCGGCTGGATCTCCCGAAAACGGGGTGCAGGAGCAGGAAGAAGGGATGCTGCAGTCACGTGAGGGCGTTTGAGCGCCTGCGATTGGCTGTCTATTGGCTCGGATCCCGGGATTTCGACCTAGTGACCCCCCATGTGACCTCACCCGAATCTCAAAACAATCTACTCGTTTCCGGATTCTCTTTGTACTACGAAGCGCTTTATGGGAATATACCTTCAGTAATACTCTGGGCAGCGTTAAATGGTATTACGATTGTTAAGCGTCAACTTATTGTGCAATCTCAACACAAAAGCGACGTTTTTCAGTATTCCGTCAATGGTGATTCATCCACCAAGTAATCATATTTCTATCAGAGAAAGTATTACTAATTCCTTTTTACAAAACTTCTGGATTCCTCCTGCGTCGGTTTTTGCTGAGTCGAAATTGCTGACGTTGCGCCAAACATCCTTTTGGCTTCTTCAGAGTTTGACTGAAACTGGCTCGTATTTTACTCTGTATCTGCTTATATATTGTTTGAGGGGGTCGCTAATGAGGGGTATAAACACCGTTTCGGATGACTGATTCCCAAATTGGTGACAGGCAGAGACCTGAGTCTCGGATTTTTCGTTGGTAGGAGAGCTGATTACATGCAAGAATTTTAGTTTTATCGAATAAAATTTTATCGTAAGGCACTTTCGTGTTCTTTGAGCCTAGTTGATATTTTTCGTCCACTCTCTCCAATGTATTCTTTGCCGCATATGCATGGAATGCTGTAAACTCCTGGCACCTCAAATGGAATTTTGTCTTTGACGGACTGAAGAGGTTGAGAGATTTTTGGACAAGTGGTAAATCTGGTTTTGACGTTATACTTTTTTAGAACTTTTGATATGTGGTTAGCGATGTTTTGAATGTAAGGAAGGACCACAGTGGCAAGTGTAGGATTGCTTTCGGCCTCATTGCTATTGGAAGGTTGTGGTGAAGTATATTTTTTGATGGAACGCTTAATATCTTTAATAAGGAAATTATCAGCGAGAAAAGCAGAGGTAAGTTGCTTTAATTCTGTTTTCAGTGACTCGGGCTGAGAGAGTTTTACGACTCTGTAAACAAAGAGAGTTGATAACCGATGGTTTTTGGGCCGGATGGATGACTCAGCAAAAACCGACGCAGGAGGAATCCAGAAGTTTTGTCAAAAGTAACAGTACAGTAACCTGTTGAAGTTTTTTTTTTGAAAAATTAGATATTATTCAAAAATATTACATTTTGTGAAAAGATAGGGGAACCCACCTACTCGCGGCTACGGTCTCAGTACGATTTGGGTGATTATTTATTTGCAGAAAATCGTACAAACATTATTTATTGTTATAATTAAAACAAATAAAAAACATTTTAGGTACTAGTACCAACTATAAAACTTATCAATAGGAATGTTTTCGGCGACATTTCAAACGGTTTGAATTTTGACGTTTGCCAATTCTGACCGTCATGTCGGTGAATGTATTCACGTTATTTTGCAAAAATGGTAATCAAAAACTATAGTATGCAACACATTTGGTAAACCTTTTAAGTCCCTCGTTTATTAAACTAACCAAATAAACTCGTAACTCAAGTTCCGTTTACCACATTTGTTGCTTTATATACTATTTTCACGTCGGTTTAATTCTTTGCAAATTCAGAAAAAAAAATATTTTTCTGTCATTTAAAAAATAATTTCATGCAAAAAACAATTGAAGAGTGTAAATGTCAAAAGGTGTATGTGCCATTTTTTGATATATTAACATTTTGTGTTAGAATTGTCGTACGTGCCCCGCCGCATGTCCTCAGAAAAGCAATATATGTCTATCGTTATAATTGAGTAACCTACATTTGCCTAATTATTACAAACATTACAAATTATATTATAGTAAATTTAAACAGTTTTTCCTGATTATTTCAAAAATGTAATATTGGCACATACCCACGCCAAGTAAACTTTCAAAATATGTTAATTTAATATTTTCTATACATATCTTAAAAGTAAATAACATTTGCGATGGATTGATTGCCTTTCACTGAGTACCTAATACCCAAAATACAGATCAAGTTAATTTTGTGGTTCTAACTGTACTGTTCATAGATCTAAGAAAGTTACCAATTTCTTTTGAATGGGATTATCCAAGGGTGGACATTAACATACAATGCAACAAGATTATTACCTAAAGTTTCAGAATTTAAATTCAGGTAAAATTGTGGTTCGTAATAGAAAATAATTTTATACTTTTATTTTGTTTGGTTTGGTATACTACTTAGTTTACGTTTATTAATAATCATTCTTATTTCGTGTGTAATACAGCGTGTGTTGAATCGTGTGCGAATCTAGTGTATCTCAGGAGATGCTTAAGCCTAAATGTAAAAAACACTATTCTATTGAGACTCAGGAAGTTATAAACAATGTTTATTTGACTCTCGTTAAACGTGGTGCCAGCAAGCAAGCATCTTTAGAAGAAATGGCCACATTGACGAAAATTCCAACATCAACTGTATGGAAAATTATGATAATCCCATTTCAGCGAGGAAGAAAAGAAACTGTGCTGACATTTTGTCGAGTGTAGATGAAAGGGATCAAGATATAATACATGGGTTTTAGATTTAAAAAAATTGACAAAAGGCAAGTTATAATGGAATCTTTTAGAATTCGGAAATGGCGACTGGACTATCTAGAAAAAATTAGGATTTACAGAGAACAACAAAGGCCAATTATTTACTTATATGAAACCTGGTTCGACACTTATGATACCCCGGAAAAGGGTTGGGTTGACTCAACTGACAAGTGTAAAACAAACGCGCCATCAAAAAGAGGTAAAAGAATAACTATTTCGTATGCTGGCTCTAAAGATTCCAAATGAATTTTCTCTGTTCTTCTCTGGATTACCATGAAGACACCACCGCTGATTTATTTGAAAGTTGGTTTAAAAACAAACTAGTTCCAAACAATCCTCCTAATAGCGTAATTGTCATGGACAATGCAAGTTATCACAGTAGACAGTTGACTAAAATCCCTTCCTCATGCGACGCAAAAGCAATTAATTGAAGTTCTACAAAGCTTGAACCTATAAAAGGAATACGTCTGTGATAATTATGGTTTCCACCTTACTACTGTATATTTAATCCCATCGGACATGTTTGGCACCAACTGAAATCTGCCATTCGTCGTAACAATGTTTTTCCCCGTGTCAACTCCAATGTCCTCAAACTTATAGAAACCGAACATCCCTCCACAAAGTTGGGCAAATTCTGTTAAACATATAGAAAAAGCAGAACAATCGTATATCGATATTATAAATAATATAGAACAAATAATAATTAGAACAGGCGATAATAGCGATAGTGGTACTGATATATTATGTAAATAATTTTAAGTAATTTAAGTAGGTAATAAAAATAATTTGTAATTTTATTTTAAATTTAAACATAAATAAATGAATAAATAAATATTGTTTAGTATCTTAATAACAAAACCCCTAATAATTAAATTCTAAGCAAAGTACGGACTTGTTCGGCCATATTTCATTCTTACAGCTTGGCCGGGTCTTTCCTTAATTCGTATCAGTTAGTCACTTTCTTATATCTATGAACAGACTTTACCTTAGAGGTAGTAGTAGTTTATCTAGATTTAAAAATTCATTTTTCGCTTACGAAAATGTTTTCAGTCGACCTAAAGTTGAAAATAATCTGTAGATAGAGAAAATTAGAACGGGAACTAATTTTATGAAAACGCTTTACAAGACGAAGAGCAATCAATTTATCGACATATTTGATTAACATGAGGCGCGATTGAAATTTCCTGGCGCGGGCATTTGAATTTCATAAATTCATAAATATTTCATAGTATTTCGTTCCTCAATTTGTAGCGGTTTCTGGAATCGATCAATTTTCAGATCAGCGTTTAATTAATATTTATTACAAAATCGTATATATGAATGTTTCATTGCTGCTTTAATGAAAAATAAATTAATTTAAAACAAAAATGTAATTAAATAATATAAGTATTTTTAAATTTTTAGAAAAATTGTATGAATCTTTTTGTGTTCAAAATTTTTACCAAACAAGGCTGGGTTCGATGAAGAGGGTACTAGGAATCTATGTTTTTATATACTATAAAATTCAAGATATATGGCCAAGACACGTGTGCGATGCTATTTCTAATGATAAAACAAATTAAACTGAAAGCATTTTTACTTGGTTGAATGTGTGTGAGAATTACAAATTTTAATAATCTGAAGTTACTTACTTGGCATTTTTCGGAAAGGTTTTGGTATAGTAATGTTGAAAATCGTCTTCAGGTTGTTTTGGCATCAGGGGCGTTCTATCGACTCTATGATGGGTGGGCGATGTGTGAGAGCCATATCCATCCGGATTTAACTGTAAACCAAAACATTCCATGATCAACTATCACCCAAGAAAACTAAATTTAACATTTTAATTTAAGAATTTTCGAGGAGATACGAATTTCGGAATAATCAATCTAATATCAAAGATTTAATGATACCTACTGAATGTTTTCTTCCTTTAAATAAAAACGCTAAATTGAATAATAGCAGCGACCCTAGGAGCGAAAGTTTATCAAGACTTATTTACAGTTTCCACAGAATAGAAAGTGTTTCATGACAATATTGTATGTCTTTTAATCTGGGGTGTACATAAAAAGTATTATTCACCATTATATTGAAAGTAGACAATGTGTTACGTCTAGAATAGTGAGAAATTCTCGAGGGAACAATTTGAGATTTAAGAAGATCTTACGGTTTTCGATTTCGCTATAGATGTTTCAATAGTATATTATGCAACAAGTGCGGTAAACGGCATTTGACTCACGAGTTTATTTGACACGAGCGGAGCGAGTTTTTAATAAACGAGTGAGTTAAACAGTTTACCAAACGTGTTGCATACTATACTTTTTCTACGACCGTTAGTTTTTGGGTCCATTTTCCCAAAACAACACGAATACATTCACTGACCTGACCGTCAGAATTGACAAACGTCAAAATCCAAAGCGTGGGAAATCTCCGAAAACATCCGATTGCTCCCAAATCCGTGCGGTAAAATCCCTGAAATGTCCGAAGTGGCTCGGATTCATGGGAAACGAAACTGACGTGGTAAAATGACGCATCCCGCACGCTAGATCGGTGGGTAATTAGGTATTTTACAGACGGGAGTAGAAAAAATTACTTTTCGTGTTAATATTATCAGGAATTCCCAAAGAATTTCAAGGAAATTTAGTCGGAAAACTATAAAAATTGAAAATTATAACAAAAAATATCCCATATTAGTCACGAGTCAGATTTGGTACGAGCGGAGCGCAGTGGAGCGACTGCTTTTCAATTTTTAGTTTCTGAGTAAATTTTTCGCAAACCAGTACGAATGAGCGACATGACTTTCACAGTTGACAAACGTATTTTGCGGTTTGCCAATTCAGAAGTTCAGGTCAGATGTCACAAAACTAATAGTCGTAGAGAAAGTATAGTGTTATCAAAATATAATTTCGCAATATTATTAATCAATAAAAACTTTCAAATATATACATAGCATTCTTCTTTATTTTTTCTTTGTTTCATTTTCGGTTCATTTAGAGTTTTTGGTTTTTGTTGGGGACTAAACAGTCAATTATAGCAATTTGTCGGTGAGTGAAATTTCATTTCGGCAGTTAGAAAATTGAATCTCGATGTTTATAGTGGATAATTCACTGAAGAAATGTGAAGAAAAGAAAAGTAGTTTTAAAAAAGTAGTGAAGGCACTAGGCTAGCACCAGCACTAGCATAGTGCAAACTAGTAATAGGATCACAATTGCAAACGGTAAAAGAAATGATTCTAGATTGACATGCGCAACTAACAAAATCTTCAAATTTTTCAAAGAAACTTCCACAGGCTACTGTAATACTTTTTACAAAGCTTCTGGATTCCTCCTACGTCGAAATTGCTGACGTTTCGCCAATCATCCTGTTGGCTTCTTCAGAGCTTGACTGAAACTGGCTCGTATTTTACTCTGTACCTGCTTATATATTGTTTGAGTCTCGGATGACTGATTCCCAAATTGGTGACAGACAGGGACCTGAGTCGCGGTTAAAATTATTAGGTTGTTTATAGATTTCTATAGACTCTCGGATTGTTCGTTGGTAGGAGAGCTGATTACATGCAAGAATTTTAGTTTTATCGAATAAAATTTTATGTCCGGTTTCATGAGTGTGTTCGGCAACAGCTGATGAGTTTATTTGTCTTAATCGTAAGGCACTTTCGTGTTCTTTTAGCCTAGTTGATATTTTTCGTCCGGTCTCTCGAATGTATTCTTTGCCACATATGCATGGAATGCTGTAAACCCCTGATCTCAAATGGTAAATCTGGTTTTGACGTTATACTTCTTTAGAACTTTTGATATGTAGTCAGTGATGTTTTGAATGAAAGGAAGGACCGCAGTGGCAAGTGTAACATTGCTTTCGGCCTCATTGCTATTGGAAGGTTGTGGTGAAGTATATTTTTTGATGGAACGCTTAATATCTTTAATGAGGAAATTATCAGAGAGAAAAGCAGAGGTAAGGTGCTTTAATTCTGTATTCAGTGACTTGGGCTGAGATAGTTTTACGACTCTGTAAACAAGAGAGTTGATAACCGATGATTTTTGGACCGGATGGTGATGTGACCATGCATTAAGGTATCGGTCTGTGTGCGTAGGTTTTCTGTAAACACCATGTTAGGTCTGTTTTTTTATTGATTAAAATATCTAAGAATGGCAGGTTATTATTAGCTTCCAACTCAATGGTAAAACGTATGTTAGGGTGTATCGAGCGTAAATGTCTAAGAAAATCTACTAGGGTTTCTTGACCATGAGGCCAAATAACAAAAGTATCATCGACGTAGCGTTTCCATAATTTTGGTTTTAGATGAAAGGTGTCGAGATGACTGGTGATAGTGGAGAACCCATAGCTGTTCCCGGCGTTTGTTCAAAAATTTGACCATTATAAGAAAAATATGTTCCCGATGAGCATTTTTCAATTGGTTTGGTTGCAGGTTCTCGAATTTTAATATATCTGAAATGATGTCGAGAGTTTAAGGAATAGGAAGTTTGGTAAAGAGGGATTCTACGTCGAAACTAACTAACTAGAATATATTGTTTATCTAATGTAATGCTTTTTAATTGTTCAATGAAATGAAAGGAATTAAGTACGAAACCGTCAGTTTTCCCTGTAAGGGGTTTTAATAAGGAAGCTAAATATTTTGCTAGAGAATATGTTGGAGAATCAATGTTTGTTTGTGAATCTTTGAAACAACCTAACAATCTTAACCGCGACTCGGGTCTCCACCTGTCACCAATTTCACCAAAATACGAGCCAGTTCCAGTCAAGAACAGGATGGCGAAACCTCAGCAATTTCGACTCGGCAAAAACAAATGCAGGAGGAATCATGAAGTTTTGTAAAAAGTAAAATCTTAAAACTGACATAAAACCCCAAACTTTTCCATATTTCGATTTTTTATATATATGTTATGTTATATTCTTTATAAATATGTTGAAATTTTACAGATTTTTTTAGCATTACCAAACAGGGCCATTATAAGTTACCGTTCTACCATTATACTGACGAAATCGAAATTTAGAATCACGTGCACGGCAACTTACCTTAACTATAGTAGCTACAGGTTGTTGCGAAGGAAGAAGTTGTTGTTGGTCCATCTTTAAAGGCTGTGGCGGCTGCGCCAGCTTGTCAGATGTGGGATCTCCGGGGAGCTGTTCCCCCAAAAGGCGTTCCTTCATTTCGTGAATGTACGGACACCTTTGCATGTTGGTAATTTTGTACTGAAAAAAAAAATAACCGTTTTGATTTCATAAAATGCATATAACAATCAGACTGACTTTTCGTTGGTATGGTATATCAATAAATCTAGTAGCTAGTTGACTTGTAGGCATTATTTAGTGAATATTAGTGTCCTACGAGAAATAATTAGCCAATAAAAAACCTAAAATGTGGTCTACATGTTAATTTCTACAGTACAAGATGTGTTAAATTGTGTGTCAATACATTTTAAGAAAAAAAAATCATGTCAACTTATGCCTTTACCTTTGGAAATACATGGTCAAATACATTACATTGGACATTTCTTGTAATTATTTTGTTTGCATAGTTTGTTAGTTTAGTTTCTTCTACAACTAATAATTTTTTAAAACAAAGATCTAGTTGGTCTGGAAAAAAAATTGAGTTGTGAACCGTTTTTCAAAAGTTAAGAAGTTCCTTTCCTTAGTTCCTATCTTAATATTCATCACCTTTATCAATAGCACACTATTAAGGAACACACTGTATATTTTTGCAAGTGAAAAATGTATGCATAAAATGCATAAATTATTTAAAAATCATTAGATCGAAAATCGAATTAATAGAAATATAATAAAAAGATGGATAATTAGAACTGATTGGCAGACTGTGACGTAGCCTGAATATTATAGTGGAAAGTGCACGACCAAAATAATACCGGAAATATAGACATATTAGCGAAATGCTCGTTACCTTTTAGGATGGAGCTACTTTCATTGGTTTTATTTACGACTATTTAAATTCAACACGATAATAGTAACGCGTATGTTGTAAAAGACGTGAGGTGTGAGGTTACACACTTACGAAAATAAACCGGTCTAATACGGACGTTTGTTGTTTCTAGTCACAACGGAAAAAACAAAACGAGCAGTGTTTGAAAACAATACAAATCCAAACTTAGCAAAGGCGATTTATTAAACCGCACGACTACATAAATAGATCCATGCGGAAGTCTGAATATTATGGCAAGTGCTGGTAATGGTGCCTTAAGAATTCGTATTACACACGGTAGGAACTTTAAAACGACCTAGGAAATCGTTTATTATAATGACTGAATCCTTCGCTCATTATGATTTATTATTATTCACAGCAGAATAGTCCGTTTCTTTTATAAGGCGACGGTTAATATGTATACATGAGGTTTCGCTTTGAGAATTTCGAGGAAACGTTATATTACCGTTTTAACGTATTTATTTTATTAGCTCTGCTCGGATTAAATACCTAACATTATATAATGCGACAAGTTTGATCAATGCCACTCTAATTGATTTGGCACGAGCACTTTCTTCGCGCTTAATCCATGCACAATATGGAACTTGAATTTTTTTTTAATTTCTTTAAGACATCTGCTTATGTACAGAAATAACGCATACCAAATATCAACACTCAAAACCCAATATTTGTTGTGACATCCGGCTAGTCTTTTTAAAGCGCGGGAACGATGGTGACGTCAGACCGCTGCTTTTCGATCGATACGGCGACATATTATAGTATTATTCTCAGATTATTATTATTTACGTTTATAATTGGCTCGTGTAAAGGTGTGTTTATATTTAATCAACGACGGTTTGTATTTGTGCTTAGTGTGCTTTACATGACAATAATAAGTTTACAAATCGTACCATCGTGTTTGAGTACAACCCGTAAAACGCCAGATAAAATTTTTATTCGTCTACCGGAAAACAAAAGCCGTCATTTTTGTTAACATTATGTTCAGGTGTCACTTTAGCCTTCGAACTTGCACAGATCCTATTGCAGTCTCCATAGGAATGGCTTCCTCAGAATTTAGGTTTCCAATAGTTTAAAAAAATCCCTTTTGTCTTTTTTGTGGAATAATTTGGATTTTATTTGATATACCATCTGAGTTTTGAAAACTAGAAAATTTCAAGCTGATTACAATATTGTATTGGTTAAAAACTAGTGGCTAAATTTTCTATAACCATACAAAAGAAAAACGTTCGGTGTTTTTTATTAATGACAGCGCGCTTCCAAATGGATTTGAAGTTTACAATTTTTAATTGCTTATTTTTGTTATACAGAACGTCGAATCTTTTTTTGTGTGTTGTTCTTTTAATAGTTCTTTAATAATTACTTTTGTAATGAATATTTTTCAAATTAAAATTTAAAAATGACCCAAACAAAACTTTAATGCAGAGCGTTTCCGAAAATTATCATTTTGGATACTCCACGTATCTCAATTGTCCACTGCACTACAGGTTTTTTTTACGAAAAATAGGACAATTATTTTCTTTATTTAAGATTGCACATATTTTTATAATATTTTGTACGACCTGTTTTGAGCTTTTCGAAAATACGTAATTATTTTCGGCGTTTCGTTTTTAAAATTAGTTTTTCTTTAACACAAAACAATTGCCACCAGAATAATTATGAATCTAATTGATTACTTAACAAGTATCTAATACTCACATTAAAAGAACTATACTGAACTAAAAAATATCCCATACTGAATAAATATATAAAAATACTGATACATGAAAAAGGAAAAGTAAGAAAAGTCATGAAGTAAGACGCCATTGGACACTCTTGCTATACTTAATTTACATTATATAACGATAAAATTTGAATTTTATCATTTCTCTTGTAAAAATAATTACGAGTTGCTAAAAAAACCTTCGAGTGTTAAAATTTGTGTCTATACTTTCGTATTGGTGACGTTCTGGATCTAGGTGGAGCGGCACTCAGAACAAAGCAGTTAAAGTAAAACTTTGTCTGGCGTTAATTTTAAAAATGCAATTGGAAAATAAATTTTAGACCCATTTTGTCAATATTGTCGCCGCGGTTTTAGCCTTTCATATGCAGAATTGAACGTGTCAAAAATACTAGGATAAAGGTAGGTATGCCTTAGTCGTGCCTATAGAGCCGCAATGATTTGAAATACGTACGTGACTTTACACATACTACGGATATGAAATACGGAACCTTTAAAATATATCTGTCCGGGAACGACGACAAGAATAAAGTACACGAAAGATATATTGGTAAGTTGGCCGAATAAGTGCATTCATATGGAAATTTTATTGCCGTGTTAGCTGAGCCGCCCGATGAAATCTTATTCTAGATCTGACGCGGGACATTATTGTCGAGGTTGGAAACAACGGAAGATGAATTTTAAAATTGCGGTCTGTGCGACTTCTTCGGGCGGAAAAAATTCCTCTTCGCTCGAAATAAAACCGTTGGTTGAATTTAGTAAACCACAAAACACTTTGTTTCTTCTTGCGCCTTTTGCGGTATGAACGGGTGTTGATCCATTTCTCAACTTTTGCTTTTGCCTTGAGTGAGGCACATAATACTTTCTGTCACTAATATCGCAATTTTATGGGTGTTGATAGTTTAAAGTTGTATTAAAGTAACATAAACTCTTGGATTATTACATTACAGTTATCTTTATTAGTTACAATATTTAATACGGCCATATATGTTAAGACAATACCACTAATATCTCTCTTTCCGATTTAGATATCTCTTCCAATTCTGATTTTTTTTTACGATTTGGTAAAAACCGGACTCGAGTAGTACATAACTATCATAATTAAGAATAACAACTAAGATGTAAATTCGGTCCGCATTTATTTAACTTAATCAATGACGGAGTCATAATTAACCTAGTAGAGCATTCTCAAATTCAAAAGAATAAAACATAGTTATATTAATTTATTGTAACAAGATGTATACAGGGTATGCAAACAGTCAGATGAAGATAAGCGTCTCATTATTATAGGTACACAGATTAAGATTTTGACATACTCAAAAAGATCTTGGTGGAAGAAAAAGCTGATAAAATTTTGCAGTCTCAAAAACTAACTAAAAGTATTGAAATCTATTTGGCAGTATAGCTAGATCCAAATTAGGTTCTTAGGTTTCGAAATAGTGATGTTATGTTGAGAAATATCAACGCAGTAATACATAAAATCGAGATTTAATAATAGCAAGATCTTATTCGAGTTCCCATCGACACCGATGTCCTATTTTAAATTTGAGCTAAATTTATATTCTGTAAAAAAACATCCCTGTTATATTGATAACGAAGGATTTATAGTTATATGAACTAAGAAGTAAATCAATGACGTTTAGGAACAAAAACAATGACAAATTTTATTCAACATCCCTTAGGATACCAATACGTTTTTTAGGCAACGCGGCAATTCAAATTTTCAATATTTCGTACACCCACAGACATGCAAAAAAATTGGGTAATTATTTTCGAAATTTAGCATGTCCGTAACTGGTAGCAGTGTCAGGTTTCCGAAGACTGCCTGCCTAATGAATTAATTACGGTGCCCGTCAATAACCGACATCATAATATTTCATCAACCCTGTTGACATGTCACAAACATGCAGTTTCTAACGCGCTTTGCTGGCAATAGATATTTTACTGGTTTAATATCGAATTTTAGAATTTTATAATAATAATAATATGGGTCACGCCCTTGGGTGTATTATTGATCTTGATCAAGATCGCAGTATGTTAAATTTACTAAACATTATTAAATGCACAAAAATTGTACTTTAATAACAATACTGGATGCTTCACGTGAACATTAAATAAATCAGTAAATCAGTAAAAGAAACTTACCTTATTATTAGAAGACCAACATAGTCAAAACGTTGGCAAATGCACCCTCCTTCACAAAAAAATCCAATGCTCTTATCAAAATGAATTCGCTACTAGGCAAAACAGGATAGTCTAGCCCTTCTGCAGCGTAATGTTTCTAATGAGATTCAAAAAGCGAAGCAGAGGCGACTGTAAAAGGGCCATAGTTGTACCGGAAGGGCCATAAAGCAGCAACGTATAATCGACAATTTTCGAACACAAAATACCGGAAATGACAGCGGCAACGGCGACAAATAACAAAACAGCATCGGCGGTGACGTGTGCGTGATCCGTGCACGGCCTACTCTACTACTTCGGATAGGTCGACGGACCCGCGCCCGGATGGATTTTCGCCGACTCCGGAGCTTTTGCGCA